TTTAATTATGATAATTTTAATTCTTAGTATTTTCTCTTAAAATTATAGAAAATTATAGAAAACATGTAAAGAATACTAGTACCAAATTTTTATATATAGTTATAATAGTAATTATTGTAATAAAACATTTGTAAGTTATAACTATAAATTCTGTATTATAGAAAATAGTAAAATTGGACTTAAAATCGTATTCTTAATAAGTAGCTTAATACTTAACTATTAATTATATAAAAATGTATATAGTGACTACATATAATATAGTACTCATTCTAAAATTTCAGCTACAAATAGTGTCTCCTTAAATTAATATTAAATGTGTTGTGTGTGGGAAAACTTTCTGTTCACTAAATCAGTGCTGATCATCAAAATTCTAACATTCCAACACTAATATCTCAGCTTCAACTCATTGTTTTTTGCTCAAATTTCGTATTTAAGTTATATCTACTGTAGGCTACCTGTATGTAAAAATTTCAAGAAATTTTACTAAGAATTGAGGGGGGTATTGTACAACTGAGCGTTAACTGGTAACTGAGCGCGAACCGGTGAAACACAGTATGCTGGATTACATATGTCTCTGTGTCAAATGCAGAGCTTGTATTTCTTTCCTAAAAGGCTAAATCACATACCAAAGTGGATAAAGCAACTAAACCCCGTTGATTAGCATTACAGCTTACAATCTCGGTAATACAATGGCAGTCACTATTTTACAATTTCTGATAACTATGTGCAGCTATGATAATAACACATAAAACAGAGCCAATGTACATAAAATACTTTCCACAGTCAGACTCAGAACAATGTAAGTCTGACGAAGGCTAGCTTATCTCCTCCTTCCCATAACCTGACCTAACTATTCCATTGTGGTTGGCTGATATGTAGGGAATTAGGGCTGAGAATCTATAAGAGAAGCCTTAATCTTTCAGAGCTAGTAAGTCCAGTAGTCCAGTTGTTCTGGAGCGTGAATCCCTTGAACGTGACAGTGAAGCGCGAAAGAGCACTCTACACATATAAGTGGTTATAAGAGCCACAAAACAGATTTGACCTTTGCAGCCAATATAATGACAGCGTTAGATAGAGAACAGCAATGAATAGAATGAGTTGAGATTGTAGATGGCGACGATTCTGCTTGTGAGTGCAGCGCAAGTTGGCAAGCGTCTTTTTCACACAACATGAGTGCATCACGTGCATCCCAGATAAATGCTTATGCCAAACGAAAGTCGAACGGACTACATGTAACTACCATATGAGGCGATGACATAATCATTCTGTTCATCTTCTTGAATCTTGATCTTGATACCATTCATCCTAGACCTAGACTGAGTCTTGCAATCGATCGTCTTTTAGGAGAAGCATCGGTCTCAGCCCTCAGCAGCTCAATATCTGATTATAGAATTAATTTACCTCTTTGTCTTTGAGGGTTCAGCCATTCCAGTAATGCTTGTCATCCTCCTTCAACAGTGAGTTGTACTGGCATTAATATTCACAGCTAACAGTTATCTCTCGAGAAGACATGCGAACAACAACTCCTGCCCAGAGTTAATGTCGACCAATGTAAGTACGAACGTTCCAAACACATTTCTATTCTGCTGGATTTTATTGCCATATATATATGAGCATACGTCAGCATCACAGTCTTTGCACAGCATGAACTCTAAGGGCTCGTGTCTCACTCCAATACGATATCCATGCCGTAATGTTCTTCTCATTGATCTGCTCGGCATTCCTCAGCGATTCCGAAATGCGCTCAGCCTTTTCCGACGCAAGCTTCTGCACTCCAAGCGGCTCATGATCATCGCCTGTATTGTTCTTCGCAGCTCGGAACAAGTCCAAAAGACGCAGTGCAGGATTCTTCTCAAGTGCTGCCTCGAGCTCAGCAGCAGTGCCAGGGTGGGCCGACACGTCAGATTTCTCCAATGCGGCCAACCATTCGCTATATGAAACGATCGGTATGTTCAATGCTTTCGAGAACCACTGTATGACAGCGTTCCACTTGACAGGACGAGGATGCACGAGATGGAACACACGCTCATCGGATTCGAGCATATCCACGATCGCGCTGGCTCCGCTGTCCGCCGTAATCCAGGAAACACTCTGTGAAGATGAATAAGCTACCGCTGTTTTCCAATAAATGATGTGGAGGTGCTTACCCCGTCAACCGCAGGGAGTTTCCCAAGAGTCACACTTGACCGTATCAGGCTCGGGAACCATTCGCGTTCGTTCCATGACCCAGACACTCCTCCCGTGATCTGTCCTGGTCGGATTATGTTTGTCCTCAAGTTTGTCTGCTTTGCAGCTTCGTTCAATACTTGCTCAGCAACCCACTTCGACTCTCTATATCCATTCCCTAGAGGGACGCGATTAATGGGCAAAGGCTTCTCGGGTTCCGCCGATTTGGAGTAGTCTGGACATGCGACTAGTCAGACAACGAGACGAGCACTTATGTTGCGAACAACTTACTCTCCTGAAACACGCCAAGAGAGCTAATAAAAACGAGATGGGCGGGCCTGTCTCCTTTGCAACTCAGACAGAAATTGACGAGGTTCCTCACGCTCTTGATATTGCTCTCGAACGAAGAAATCGTATTGCTGAAATTGACTCTCCAACCTGAACAGTATCATGGTTATTGCGATAACGACTGATGTGGACATTACAAACCATTATGAACAACATGAGTCACCGTGGATTGCAGCTAAAACATAAGTTCAGTAGATTTTTGCGGGGATACGAAAGAATATTGACTGACATCGGTATAGCGTTCTGCTTCAACTCCGAATTCGCCTTTGCTGGGATCTCCTTCTAAAATCTTCAGCTTGTCACTGTGCAAGAGGCGTGAGTCCAAGCCTTCCTTCTCAAATGTCTTCCTGAGCCTATTTTCGATGTTGTCATCTTCCGAGGGCCGAGACAGAGCGCACACGACAGCGACCGAGTCGCTCTGAAGAAGCTTGGCGAGTAGGTTCGATCCAAGGGAACCGGTGCTCCCTGTAAGCAGCACGACATGTCCTTCTTGTCTCCTTCCCGGGCTTGCAGTGAAACTCGGAAACGACTGTGTGTACTTGTTCACTAGCTGCAAGAGGTCCTTTTTCCTCGCTTCACGTGACTCTTCCTCGGACATCCCATGGCCGGCAATAGCTGAGCTGATATATTTTGCCAGTCCGTCAATGGTGGGATGTTCGTACACGAAGTTCGCGGAAATCTTGTGAACGAATTTGGCGTGCGATTCGCGAAGGGCGCGCAAGACGGTATTGCGAACCCATGTTGCCTGAAGACTAATTGGATTACACATCAATTTCAGCTCGATTTGTCCGAGTTATCGCTTACCTGTCAAGCCCATATTCGAATAAATCGATGCTGTCTCCAAGAGTCCGCACATCTCTTTTCATCGTTCGTGCAATTACATCTCTGACAAATTCTAGTGAAGCACTCTCGCTCCATTCCTCAGGTGCGGGAATCTCTGTTTGACCACTTTCTTCAACTGCTGCATACACCGCATCGATCTCAGAGGTGTATGCAGTGACAACCTGTTGCCGGCGAACAGTCCTTTTGGCAGTGTATTCAAATGGTTTCTCGGGAGAAGTGACGATTATCATCTAAAAATGGATTATATCACAGACTTTGAGCACAAAGAACTTACGTAACTTACCTCTTTGAATAGACGGGAGTGACTTGGAGCAAAATCATTGACTCTCTCGACTGTATTCTGAAGAGTTCTGATTTTGGTTACTATCAGATCTTCTTGATTTTATTTAATTTGTTGGATTACATAATCACTTTCTTTATGTAGTTAGTTCTTTCCTATTTGGAATGGAAGAAGGAGTTTTGACCAGAGCCCACGACGACACTAGAGGGAACAAGCCCACCAAAACCTTGCCTCTCATTTTGGAGCCCACCGCGAGGGGTGGTGCCTCTGTTCTAAAGTGTCTGGGTTGTTTTTGTCTTGATCTTGGCCTCGAGGGCCTTGCTACGCTTGTTTTGAATCGAACCGACCGTTTTGACGCACGAGAAGCACGATGACGTGGCCGCCGAGAAGAGGATCAAGAGAAGCGCCGTACTTCGACGGCAGCAAGCTTGAGGAACTTCCGCGGTTCTTTGAAGACATCGAGATGTTAGCTGCCGACTTCCAGAAGGATGCCGAGTGGATGTGCAAGCAAGTGACGTACTACGCAGCGACGAGCTGTAGCAGTTTGTGGGCTACCGTGCCCGAGTTGAAGAAGAAAGGAGCGCGCGATTGGAGCATCGTGAAAGAGGAGATCAGAAAGCTCTATCCGGAGCTGATCGATGGTCAACGCTACACGAGAGCCAATATCACGCGACTAGTCGATGTGCAGAGTGAGAAGGAAATGACGGTGCAGACAGAGTTTGGCCGCTACCGCCGCGAGTTCCAGGTGCAAGCAGAGTACTTGAAGGAGCAAGGGAAGATGTCAGCACGCGAGTTAGACTGTGAGTTCTGGAGAGGGATCAGAGGGACGCTGAGGACGAACCTGACGCGACGACTGGAGATTCTCTATGTGGACAAGGATGCGAGCGAGCCGTTCAAATTCGCCGATGTAGTCAGGCTAGCGGACCACGTTCTTCTAGCAGGGCAGACAGAGGCAGGCCGAGACCAGACAGTGACGTTGCCAAAGGAGAAGCCAGAGAAAGAAGCAGGAGACGAGTATGCGAAGATTGTGAGGAAGCTCGAAGAGTTACAAGCCCAGGTCAACGAAGCAAGCAAGTCCAGGAAGATGCTGATGAATCAAGCACGCAAAACTGACCAATCCGCCGATTCCGTGAAATCCGACCTGAAGCACGAGAGGACCTGCAACTTTTGTGGAAAGCAAGGACATTTCGTACGTGACTGTAGGACTGTGAGCGAGTACACTCAGAGGGGGAAGTGCATGAGGTTGGGGCAGAAGATTGTGTTGATGAGTGGGGCATTCGTGCCAGCCAGTGTAGAGGGAGCAACGTTGAAGGAGCGCATAGACCGATACTACGAAGACAAGCCTGTGTTCACAGTAGGCACAATTGATGAAGCAAAAGATAGGTCGAATGCAAGTGAGGGAGAAAAGCACGAAGCCGTTCTTGGAGCGGATTTGGATGCAGAGGTGACGAGGTTGGAGGAACGCTTGAGGGATGTGAAGAGACGAAGAGAGGAGGCAAGGACCATGAAGGCTAACGCGAAGCCAGTCGAAGTCAGACCGAAGCGAAGCACCGAGTCGAGCGAGATCATCAAGCAGGTCTTAGACTGGATGATGGACGGTGTTGTCACGTTGACGCACCGTGAGTTGTTTGCAATAGCTCCGGAGCTCGAGTGCCAGTATGCAGCTAAGCTTATGAGGACGACTCAGATGCGTGACGAAATGCTGAACAAGGCCGGAAGTGGACCTGCGAAGGCAGAGGAGGAAGAGACGAGTGAGGAAGCAAGGACCGACAGCAGAGAAGATCAGCACGCAGGTACGAGCGTTGCATGCAAGGACGACAAAGCACAGTCAAGCCCAGCAGCAGAGCCGAGAACGAGCGGATTGCGCGGGAAAGCAGCGGATTACGTCGGATTGAGTCGGATTCGAGCTGGAGAACGAGAACGAGAGCAGAGCAGAGGAGCGAGTGTGGCAAACAAGGCCGGAAGTGTACCAGCGAGGACGAGGGAGAATAGTGCGATGGATGAGCAGCAGAGGCTGTTGCGAAGGGCAGTGGCAAGCCGGATGAACAAGGTCGGAAGTGCATCTGCAAGGATCAAGTGCCGAGACAATGAGAATCAGTCAAGCCCAGCGAGAATACCGAGCACGAGCGGATTACGCGGGAGGACGTCAGAAGCCGTCGGATCAGAGCAGTGTCGAGCGAGGGAGCGTCGGATAGGCACCCCAGTCAGCAACAACAAGGCCGGAAGTGTACCAGTCAGGCTAGCGACAGTAAAGCTGAACGACGAATTGGAGACTGAGAGCTTACTGGACCAGGGAGCTGTTATGAACGTGATGCGCGAAGACGTTTGGAAACGCTTGGGAGTACCAAAGGAGCGAGTGCGGACGAACCTCAGGCCAGCAAATGCAGGATCAATTGCAATCGAAGGTGTCATTCCGAGACTCAAGGTGTCAGTAGGTGGAATATCAATGGTGATGCCGGTTCATGTAGTGAAGGACACAACGTTCGACATGATAATCGGGAGGCCGTTCTTCGCGTTAACTGAGTGCGAGACGAAGGATTTCAAGGACGGTAATCAGATTTTGACCTTGACAGACCTAGCAGATCAGAACCGGAAGTGTCAGGTTGAGACCCGAGCAGCTGTTGGATGAAACCCACTACTCACTACTACTACCATCTATGTTGGAGTTGGAGAGGATTGGTCTGGCAAGCCTTTGGCCTTGGTACAGGTTACATTCTCTTTACTCTAACATTCCCTTATACCCCTTTCTTTTATGAACACTCATTCTTACTTGAGACTCACACTCTTTGTTTCTTTATCTTACTTTGATTGATACCTTTTATTCTTACCCACACTCCTTATACTTACCCTTTATTATTGCTTCTTAAAGCAAGTGACTGAGGACAGTCACTATTTAAAGCTTGGGGAGGTGAAGAGTTCTGATTTTGGTTACTATCAGATCTTCTTGATTTTATTTAATTTGTTGGATTACATAATCACTTTCTTTATGTAGTTAGTTCTTTCCTATTTGGAATGGAAGAAGGAGTTTTGACCAGAGCCCACGACGACACTAGAGGGAACAAGCCCACCAAAACCTTGCCTCTCAATTCCTATACTGACTTAGCCTTGAATGCAGTTAATATGAACAGTACCTACCATATAGCATTCCGAAACTTCTCAAGGTCAGCCATGCTATTATGATCGACAGGGTGGTACGTGTTCGGTTGAATGAGAGCACCACACTGGAATCGACCTCTTCCAAACATCACAACGTCTTCAATAAGCGGATCCTGTTTCAGCATTGTTTCTAAACTGCAATCAGTTATTTCACACTGGTAATTTAGACGCCTTTACCTAATGGTCCAGGATTTGTCTTTTCTCCATTTGAATGTACTATCTGATCATCGGCCCTGCCAACAACTTTATAGTATCCAGGTTTCGTCGGATGTGGAGTGACCAGATCATTCGACGAATAAGCATCAGTTCTGTTGACTTTTGTGTTCAAAACTAAAGGCCTGAATTCTTCTGTAGCCTAAGTGGATTTCAACCTAGTAATCAGGACAGTGTAAATAAGTTTACTCACAACAACTACAACATTATACTGTTTGTTGCCAAAGTCCTCGAAATGCAGTTTCCTATTTGGTGTAAACCTAAAATAGTCCCATGTTTCTCCCGGTGCCCCTTCCAAATATGACAGACAAGAAACTATCAGGAGAGATTCAATGTAAGAAGCAGAAAAATCATACTTGGGAGGAACTGGCTGAGGACTAGGGCCTCTGTGCTAAAGTAGAAAATGAGTAGGATGAACACTATCATGTTTGAACATACGATGCGTAAGTTTGAAACACGTTGACGCCTTCTGAGGCAAGATGATCCCCAGAATGTTTGGCAAGTGGACCACCTCCATATATCTTCTCTCACGTTAGTGATACACACACAACATTGTAGTGAAAGGACGTACAACACCCTTCAATTTTGACATCTCTCTCACATTTCCCTGATTCTGTGACCACATCTAGATTACATGCCTGAATCAATACAGCTTTTATCAAACGGATACATTAAGATTTACCTCGATGAATGCTGGCGGACTAAACAAGTAGTCTGTCTTTGTAGCCAAAGTGCCTTCAAAAACATTCAATGGATTGGGAATTGTTGCTGGTGATCTCGGCTTGAATACAGCCAAAATTACCCCAACACTTGCCTATTTTCTTAGTCTATGTATGTGATTTATGTTAAGTAGTTCCACTTACTGGAAATGACAGTGGAAGTGAACCCATGGCATGAAAGAAGGGGACACAATGGCAGCCGAGAATAGAACCCGAAACATTGGTTTCACCAAAGGCTAAGGAAGTTATCAATTGATACAATCTAGAAGCCCCTCTCACAAAACTTACTAGGGAGAATCGACATCCAATATAAAGCCTGGTGTGTCCAGAATATAGGTTTGGGGAATGACGTCGTACCTTCAACAGATTTAATAAACGCATTGATATTTGTTTTGTTGAATGCATTTACCTGAAGAATGATATATAATTGAATGGCCACTCATCTCTAGCTTTGCAGCTGGAACGAATTCAAACTGTGAATCAAATCCCTCTCCAGGAAACAAGTCTTCGAACAGTGGCATGTTGAGTTTTTGCAGGTCTGGATATTTGCTCAAGTGAATAGAGTTGTCTGCAAGCTGTTGAAGGGCAGACTCGGATGATACAACAATGTTGATGGGCTTTGTTTCTGAGAGAAGGAAAGCAATTGCTGCTGCACTATTGCGAGGTGAGATGAGTAGTACTACAATTCCCGCCCTTAAAGCGCCGAAAAGGGTACAAAAGAAGGTGACCGAGTCTGTGTTAGTCTTATTAAATTAAGCACTATGCAGGCATATTAAAGATCCAATCAAACCTGACGCAGCTAAGAAAGCAATTACAGGTGCCTGTCCTTGTTCCTCTTCAGTACTGAGGTTGACGTGTTTTCGGAAAAATGAAGTAGCACGGTGCATGCTCTGCACCCCTTCGCCCATTGATATTGTTCGAATACGACCAGGCTCGTCTTCAAAAACAAATAGAGGGTAGTCTCGATTATTTGCATAGTTCCAGTCGTATAGTTCTGGAAGAGTTAGCGATCCGTCCAAAGCAGGCCTTGTGTATACAAGAGGTTGGCAGTTGTCGCCCATAATACAAGCAAGTTGTAGATGAGGAGGTTACTGTAACAGATTGTGGACACTTTCGCAGTTAAAAGAGTTCATGCTCGGTTACGTGTTTAGTAACCTATCCCTGTTCACTGGCACATACAAACTACCTCCATAAAAGTACCATCCAGAGGTGATTCCGGGGGCTGACCGAACGCTCCTCAGAAGCAATCAACACGGATGAAGCTCCAGAAGTAATTCCTTATTTACTCAGATAGGGCTCGGCGCTGTTGTGTGATCAGATTGAAACGCTCAAATTATTTGAGGGGGTGACCTTAAAGTAGAGATTTATCCGAGTATAGCCGCTAATTATTCATATCATATTGATGTTATTTACAGCATGCCGGAAATCCCATGATGGATATCAAGTAGACGTGGGACAAAATTTACCTACATTCAGAGACTTGGGAAGATGCGCCGCACATTTGACTGTGAAGAAAATGATCACAGGAACGACGCGGTGGGAAATTCGCTTAGAAGAAAATGTTGCACCTATGACATCCTGTTAGTTGCAATTTCTAGCCCGAGTTCCCCTTGCTTCAGACGAGGCCTTCGCCCGCCAATGACATCTGTCACAAATGCATTCATCGTCAGAGCCCTATCCCTTGCCCCTAAAACTTCACGAGCATTGATATATGCCAATACGCGTTTCTCATCGTCAGATAGTACGTTCTCCCCGACATTTCCGATGCAAAGATACTGGGAATTCTCTGTGCATGCATAATAATCTCCCTATCCAGCGTAACAAAAGCTCTGTCTTACCATACACTTGAGTAGCGAAACACTCGTCTTTAAGTTTCGCAAGGACAGCCTCACGAGACTCTGTCTGTGCTGGTTCAAAGGCACGGACGCAGATGTCTATTACTTTCGACAAGTCCGAAACGGACAGTTGCTCGTCTACGTCGATTGAACCTTGGATGACTTGGTAACATTACGTCGTTGAAAGCCTTTTCAAAGCATGCATTCAAAATATATAGACTTACTGGGTCTTATGAAGGAGAACGCCCGATCAAAATTGTCCTCATTAATATCCGTTAAGACAGCATCACGTTGTGACTTCATCTGCTTATATGCGCCAAGAACCACCATGAGGAACCAAGTGAAGCTCGAGCCTATTTTCTTTGAGTGCCAATCTGCAGCTTCACTTTCGGTGCAGTCGCCACGAATCGAAGCGCAAATTGTAAGAGCAGCCGTCAAACCTCCAATGAGGGCAAGATGGACCCCTGACGAGAAGAACGGATCGATGAAAGCACCAGCATCTCCAGCGATGCGAAATCCTGGACCAGAATAGCAACTTGAGGAGTAACTATAGTCACTGGCGGATCTAACCATCTGCTCATCATCAATATTCGTTGGGTTCGCTGAGCCAAGCAGGGACATAATTGTAGGCGCAAGACGGAGCTGCTCTAAATAGAATTCCAAACCGGACAACGGTGGATCATGCGCACGCTTCTTCTTATTTGTAAGCTCCTGGTCCATAACTATACCAACAGATGTTCCGATGTGCAGTGGTATAAACCATGCCCATCCAGATTCGTCTAGGAAGATTCGATTATTTGACTAGCACTAACAAAGAAAGTTGTGTCGAGTACCTATCAGCGCTTCTGCAAGCGGAGCACCTTCCCGAGGGGTGCCGATACCGTACACTCCTGTTCCTTTCCAGTATGCCCACATGGCTATATTCTTGAGAGATTGATTATATGTCCGGTTTTTCAAGTACTTCGTGCACATCAGGCCAGCTCGTCCGGTCGCATCAACAATATAGTCAAACGCGATGTCACCAGTTTCCCTGTTCGACTTGAACACATATGAAGCACGGATCGGGCGTCCGAGGTGCGATGCATCATCGGGTTTAAAGGATAACTCAGTCACCTTGACTCCGTCGAAGACCTTTGCTCCACTGGCCGCTGCGTGACGGAAAAGTATATTGTCCGATTCGGAACGCAGAACATTCCAGGAGTAGTTGTTTGGTCCGCCAGCAGCGACAAAGTCAGTGTCTAATCGGAAATCCATCATAATGTCAGTAACATGCATACTGTTCTAGACGGAAGTTACTGACATCCTTCGCGATTATGCTGATTCAACTTGAACGCGGCACCATTCTGAAGATTGGGTTCAAGAGTGATTCCGTTTCACCTTGTGAACTTTTAGATATTTCGTACCTTTATAATAAACCCGAAGGAGTCAAATGCAGAGTCAACGTCGATGAAACGGAACATATGCCGCATGGCTGGGAGCATACTCTCTCCGATATGATATCTACGCAGGGAGGTCAGTTACAAAGGAGCCGCGATGTAAGAAAAAAAGGGCTACCTAGGAAAATTATCAGCCTCAAGAAGGATGACATCAATGCCCTCTCTTGCCAAAGCGGCAGCCGCAAATGCGCCAGCGGGACCACCACCAATTACGAGAACAGTACATGTTCCAGGAATCTCAGAGGGCATTTGGTTCTCTCTGGTAGAGTCAGTTTACGGTCTAAGTTGATGTAGTGACACTTACAGAGGATGACTATGAAGATATGAGAGATTGCCAGTAGCAATATTGATTAAAGCTTGGTAACGCTCTTGTCGTATTAGCCTTACCAGCTTTCATTTTTCTTGTAAAAACCCCAGGCCTTCAATATAAGTTCTGAGAGGTGGATACCACATTCATGAGTAAGGCCTCCGAATGACATATTGGAAAAGGTCAGATATAGTTCAAGCTCCGATATGAATCGGCAATTCTGGGGAGAGCGGTAAGTTGCACTGTGCCTTAACATGAGGGAGATATCAGTGTTCTGCAACTAGATAGGAGAGGGTGCGATGATCGAGTTTGTATTGTTCTCCCTGGCAAATACAAATGGTGATAACCAATTCATAATTTTTTAAATTCTATGCGGGAACCATCACTCTTCCTGTTTGATTTACCAGATATGTGGGGCTGCAGATTGCTATGATGGCCTGATACAGTGATAGCGGACTGTAGTGTTAGTGACAGTGAATAACAAAGCCTCCTGGAAAAAAAAGGGTTCTTGGTACCGGTAAACAAAAATCGGAGTTCCAATTTCTGACTTGTTTCCCACGGAATCGGCGTTTGAAATGCCCCGAGCGACGAGCGGCCAGAGCTTCTTCAAGCAATCAGAGGCTGTTTACATGTGCATTATTGTTGTATGCCTTATCTGCGAACTTCTTCAGCAGTTGTGAATAGATGACTCTCTGCGAGTAGAATGTACAACAGAAGATGTGCTCTCGTGAAGGTCAGGACTCAGTTACATCCTTTGATTGAAGTATTCGATCAATGAATCATACAACAGTGATGTGAGTTGATGTGTGAATTCAAGACTATGACAGGTAGTATGTGGTACTATAAAATGCAATCTAATGTGAAGGGTGTTTGGGCGCTACACTTTTCCAATGGTGATACGTCTTGACGAAGCATCCCTCCTAGCAGTCGTCTTTGAGTCTATACTGTTCGGTACGTGCCATTATTATTTCTATTCGTGACAATTCTATAATACTAAAATGTTCAATGATTTGCCTAAGGACTGCTCACTGCACTATTTGCAACAACAGTGTATATACTCGTCTTTCGGAAAATGCACGCTAGGACATTGAACAAGCCTGTTCTGTGTGTATCAATACTAATGTATTGTATTTCCATCTCAGTAAGCATCTTATTATTTAATAATTGAAATGATATTTAACGAAGATATCAACCCCTTTAGCATATTTCAATAAACGCACGTCGCGTCGTTTATGCATTCATTAATTTATCGGGCAGTAGTGAAAGTGCCGATGACTACTTTCTTGCTTCTGCCAACCCATTGTATCTTGCGAAAATTAGCATGTACATACTTCAAACACTCACAGGGGATGCATTCATTGTGAGTCACAATCTTATGAGTGTTAATTATGATGAGCTCCTACAAAGGCCTAAAAGATTTACCGGCTTTACATGGTTTGGGGAAGATATGTTCGCTTGCTTCTGCCTGCTGTAATCTTTTTATTAGGAAGCACTGGTAAGTGTCAAAAGTCGAGAAAATGGTACATCACTGGCTTAACCCTCATCTTCTAGCTTGTGGAACGATGGCGCTTGTTGATGCAGCACGTGTATCGCCTACTACATTAATCTTTATACCAAAACTTAAGCAATGGATTGTATCCTTCTTCTCTCTCACTCTTTTTACAAACCTTACTTGCACGGGTGAGTAGCATGATTAACAGCTTTGCTTTGTGCTGAAATTTGGTTCTCTCCAATAGCACTCATAGCATTTAAAATCTGGTGGACTGGACGTCAGCTGCAGAGTGTCAGTCCACAGCGAGTACACTCACCAGTTCTTGCTATTGTCGTTGAATCTGGCATGGTGTACTCGACGGCACTCATATCACTAATGGCAGCATATGTCAGTGGATCTTGGGGCCATTATGTTATCCTTGACATGATGGCGCAAATAATAGTAAGTCGCCAGGAAAGCCAAAGTTTGCCGTTCTAAAGTATTTATTCTAGGCAATAACGTTCTCATTGATTATCGTCCGAATTGGGATGGGAATTTCTGCCTCTAACATCACATTACAATCGCACAGTGCTCGTGCGGCTCGTGGTGATGCATCTTGTTTATGCAGTGCAGAGCAGCAATATCCTATGCATTCGCTCGTCGTTCATCTTGAGTCGACGAGGTCTGTGAAGGATGATCAAGGAAATTCATTATGGCAATCATCCGTAAACGAATTAGACCCTGTGAAGGCGAATATCTCGGCTTCCCAAAACAATTAACATGAGCTATCTCTTTTTGAATGGACTGATATACTAGTTGCTAGTTGATTCAAGTTTCTTCTTCGGTGCTGTATGATTTAACAAGTCACATTGTACAAGTGTTGGTTCATTCCTTACAATGAATATAGTTGGGGAACGGAAGTTGGATGTCATTATAATTGTGCGTGTCTGTCAGAAGAACAAAGATTTATCTAGTGTAGTGCAGATCTCGAAGTTCCTGGAATCGGCACTTTCGGAATTATGTGAAATTTGTAACTATTTCTCAGAGATTTTGTCCTCGGCTTTGTTCTCATGACAGGGGGACAGCTGACACTGCTTCTCCAACCAAATTCATGTCTATGGGAGGAACAGTAACTGGGCGGATAAACAGGTTAAAAACAAGGGGAATTGATAAATGAATGTGCTTCCACAACTTTCACAACGACGTTGCGTTATTGCAATTGATGCCCCGTGTGTTCCATAACCGGTCAATAAGAATTTCACCTCCGAAGAGTCCGAACGCAATCACTCAGAACACAGTTATTAACTCCTATTTATTTTCATGATCTGTGACTTCTGAGAATCTTGAGCGATTTTGACAACATGCAGCACACCTCTCATGCTGTCTGTTCAAGATTGGCCCACGTCTTCATTCCTCTTGGTCTTGGAATAATCACTATCACTGTCCTTGCGTTCTGGATTCGAGGATGGAGAACTCAACTTCCTAGAGGTCCAAAGGGCAAGTGGATCGTTGGAAACCTCGACAGCATTGTATCGACTTACCAGTGGAAGCAATTTTCGGAGTGGTCGAAAGTATTCGGTGTGCAACATTAGTTATTTTCCACCCACCAAACATGTTCTCAAGGCTATTTTGTGCTTTTGTCTAAGGTGATATCCTTTACCTGAAAGTTCTTGGACAACATATCATTGTACTCCATGATCTAACTCATGCACAAGAGTTGATGGATAAAAACGGAGCTATATATTCGGATAGACCAAAGATGACATACGTAAACAAGCTGTAAGCAAATAAATTTATAGACGCGCAGCGTACACTAAATGTATGCATGTGAAAGGGTTAAGATCCAGTCCCTAACCTTCATGCCCTATGGCTCTCTGTGGCGGACACACCGAAAATTAATGCATCATTACCTGAATACGAGAGGTGTGGACGAGCTTCAACCTGCCATGTTGCAAAGTGTTCGGACCCTACTTGAAGATTTGCTCATTGCACCTGATGAATTCTGGGGAAAGATTAACAAGTACAACACATTGTTGCTTTATTATTTGAGTGGATTGTACTTACAACAGCAAGATATGCGACTTCTCTCATTCTCTTAGCTACCTATGGCCACAAAGTTTCCTCTGAAGATGATGAACTTGTTGCACTAAATGTCTTTGCCGAATATGTAATCTTAAAACCAGGTCCGCCAGGAACTACAATTGTTGACGTTTTCCCAATACGTGAGTAGATTCAGTGTACATAGAAGATGACACAGTGTGAATAAATCTTCTCTAGTTCGGTTTATTCCGTCGTCTTTCCCTGGTGGTAGCTTGAAGCGACATGCTCTGAAGCATAGAGCACGAATATGGGAAGCTGCAGATCGTCCATTTGAGTCTGTAAAAATCAAATGGGTCAGATACTCTATTTTTTTCGAATTGATGTTACCTTATTTACTCCATTCAGGAATGTGGTACTGCAGAGCCGTGTTTGCTTACTCGTATGCTGGATGACTATCACCAAGCAGGAGAAAGCGACGGATCACATATAAAAGTAATTAAGGATCTTTGTGCCTCAATGTATAGAGGTGTGAAATGCAATTGTTATTCTGTGTTACAAGTGAATTAATCCAACGTAAATCCTTTCCAGCAGGAGTCAATACTGTATGTGTTGAAAGGGGTTATGTGAGAGGCTTAGAGGGATCACACAAAGAGGGGGGATAGTGGACTCGGCTCGCTCTCCTTAGTGTCATTGTCTGTTGATTCAGTAGGTATATATAATATGTAGCTATGTCTCGGGTACGTCCGTTGCTTATATGCGTCATTCCATATATGTTAACACTCCCCTTCAAACATATATTAGTTTAATAATATGTTTGTTTTGCAACTATTCGTTTATTTGATTTGTAGTTATTTTTATTTTTATTTTTAGGGGTAGTTATAGTGCTGCTACCACTCCCCTTCAAACATTTATAAGTTGGCCAGACCTATAAGATGTTTGATTTGCAGATTGTTCCAACATTTGCATTGTACATTGTGTCTGTATTATATTCACTCGTGTATCACATATAATAATATCATTTGTATAATATAAATGCATTGTTTGTATTGTATATTTTAGTCCACTGTGTGTTAACTTTGTGCTTTGTTAGATATTTATTAAGTTTTCGTTTGCTGTCGTGTCATTAGTTCTGTAGTTCGTTCATTGTTATATTATTAAGTCATTGTTCATTGTCTTGTAGACTGTTCAACATGATTGAAATTGTTCAGAGTTAATCCGAAGTTCGTGTGTAGTTTACTGTTAAATGACAGTATTGTTTTCACAATAAATTGTTCAAAATTGTTATTAATATCATATGTGCTTCAGAGACCTGCAGAATCTCATGAGTGCTGTGTAAGATTGTAAATTGTGTGTTTTATTTATTAAATTTGCTCAAGTATTACTAGTAATTTCTTTTTACTTCACTGTGAAACTAATGAATCATGCTAGTAAAATGTATATCTGGTGTTGCAATGATATCCTTCTTTAATCATTGCTGTCCGTGTTTGTCTACGTTTGTATATGCATTAAGCATTCAGCAATAGCTGATTTATGTCTTCAGATTGAAGCTTTGTATCAATTGTATGTTGTAATATTAATAATGTTATTTGTTTTTGCCAGATTGCTTCATTCTGAGATTGATGAGGTTTTATGCTAACATATATTTGTTGTATAGATATTATATCTGGCTACAGGCAGCTCACTATGTGTCTAGGTGCATTGTATATGTATTATATCATGAATGTATTGTCTGTATTGCTTTGTGTTATTGTTTATGTTTATGTAGTAACTTATTAATATTGCATTGTATAATGAATCGATTTTGACACATCCTGAGTAACTATACAATCTGTTGCATTATTTCTTCAATAGCCAACATAATTATCTGTTGTAAATTGTTAGTAACATACGTTTGTATTATTTGTTATTAACAGTGTTATTGTGAATTGTTGTGATTGTGATGTCATGAATATTTATTAGTATTATAGCTATTGTTCTTTGCTTTTTCTTTTGCAAAGAATAGTGTATTGTAACACAATCTGTATATAAGTGATATATTGGATTATGTTTACTATAATAGTCTCCTAGCATACTTTAGTTAATCTAGTGGTATGCACAATTGTAGTATTTGTTCAACGTTTTATTTGTTAATTGATTTGCTAGGTAAAGTGTTTTATATAACAGTTTTATTTATTTTATTTGAATCATTGTATAGATATACTTATTAGTATCTATCTAATGTATTTCATAATGTTATAATACTGTTCACACTTGTATTAATTGTGTAGTGAGGGCAAATTAATTGTTTGTACAAGAATTAATTTAATAGTTTTATTTGATTATATGTATGTGCTCCATACTTGTTTGTATAGTTATTATCTTTGTATTGTTCAATTGTAGTTGTGAATTATATTGCAATTATATTTGTATTATTGTATGGATGTATTATTTATTGTTTTATGTATGTTCCAAAGTATTATTTTTGTTATTCATTACTTTTATCTATAAACTATAGTCTGGATTGATGAATTATTTTATTATATGACATGATAATTGTCTGTATTTTATTTATTTTCGTATTAAACATTGTTAAGTTAATCAGATTATTATATTAATATTATTTGCCAAGTATGAGCATTTGTTTCATAGTGGAATTATTATTTATTTAATGTTGAAGTTCAATCACACATTGTGTTGACTTCTGTTATTTGTTCTGATCAATGTTATTTTGTGTTGTGTCAAATGATTTACCTTTGTGATCCGTTATATCTGTCTGTAACTTCTATCACTTATTGTTTTTTAGGATCAGTGATAAGATTGATGTTTCCACATCATGAATATTCATTTGTTCATCTGCAGTTTCGTGTTGTGAATGTTTGTGCATTTGCTGCAAAGAACACTTTGGGAATATGTGCAATTTCTAGGCTTTATTATTATTAATTTATTAATTATCTGTTTGAATAACTTTTATAAGTATTGAAAATGTTATGTGATGTATAACTTTTATATTCTTTAATAAGGTATTTTGTGTTCAACAGATTTGTCAGATTCATCACAGATTTCACTTAGTGATGTAGTCAATATGTCTGTATTAAGAATTCAATGTTCATCATTAGTGTGTATATTATTCAATTACTCCCCTTCAATTCAAGAAGGTTATTCTTTGAGTAATTGACAAGTAGTGTAAGTACATAAGTACATTGTTGATTTTCTTTCGTGTATTTGTAATCCAACAAGTAGTGTTAGTACTTTGTTATTTTACTTTTGTGTGTTTGTCAGTATGTGTTATAATATAACAGTATGTTTTAAGTTAACTCATAATGTTTGACATACATCATTTTGTTTAAACATTACACTGTAACATTGTGCTGTTTGTTTTATAAATTTTAATGTGATGTTTGTAATATGTCTGTAATATTTCAAACATGCTAAGAAATCTCTCTGTGTGTTTGCAGTTACAACATCAGTTGCACATCTATTCATATCTCTGATAAGATGTAATAGATATGCTTGCATCTGCTTTTCTTTATATATTATACTGTCTGAGATAATGTGTTAAACGTTTTATTAATTTATTTAATCTTATTATATTATGATTGTTTTTGTTTGTAATCATTATAATAAGTGTGTCTGTTGTAGTTTTTCTGTTGTTTGTTGTACTAGCCATATTAGCATAGTACTTCACTTGTATATAAGCTTTGTAGCTTCAATATAAGTTTATTTATACTTTGTTAAAGTATATCTACATTCTGTATGATTAAATATGTTCTGTTACATTGTTGTAGTAATGGTAGAGGTATTATTCTACTGTTTGCCATTATTATACATTGTTATTATATGTTTACACTATCATAGGTGTAAAGTATTGTTATTTGTTTATTGACTATAATTGTGTACTTGTTCCTGTACCATAGTTACTGTAATGTACTTTGTAACTTTATTATTATTATTATTATTATTTATTCGTCTGTAAATAGTTGTATGCTTTCATAAGCTGTATTAGTGCATAGATATTGGATGTCTTAGATATCAGATGGATATCTGCTAACTTGTTTTATTTCATATCTGACATGTCCAACATATCCAAGACATGTCTTACATTAATTGTTTGGCTGTAATATTGTCATATATGTTATTATTTGATTTATGTTATAACATATGTGTGCTCGTTGACAGTGTCAATCATTTATACTATTGTAATGTTAATAGTGAAAGAGTAGCGTTTGCTTTATTAATCTTTTTAACGTTTGTCTGTAGTATGATCAGTTAATTTATTATAACATGATCTCTATGATATTATAGAGTATTTTAGCATTTAATAATCACAGTAAGTGATACTCATTGTAGTTTCAACGTTGCCTGCATAGATTACGTTACTACTAGGCCAATGATCATAATCACTAAGATGACAATCATATAATGTCTGGGTTGTATGTAGTATGGTAGATTGTGTGTTTGCAGCATATCAATTTGCGTTTGGGATACTCAGACAGGTGAGTCGAGTTCTGCATCATAGTATACTGTGTGTGTGCATGCAATGTGTAGAGCTGTATAGAGCATAGACGTAGTAGAGTGTAGATAAAGTGTAGGCAGGGAGCACAAGGCTCATAACCTGTTGAAAGGGGTTATGTGAGAGGCTTAGAGGGATCACACAAAGAGGGGGGATAGTGGACTCGGCTCGCTCTCCTTAGCATCATTGTCTGTTGATTCAGTAGGTATATATAATATGTAGCTATGTCTCGGGTACGTCCGTTGCTTATATGCGTCATTCCATATATGTTAACAGTATGTTTGTCTACTTACATTTCTACATAGCAGTGGCCACTAATCTCTCATCTTATGCTTAGTCAGCAGCTGCAATCCGTACTTTCTTCCTTGCTATGTTGCTCCAGCCTCACATAGCAAAAAAGGCACAGGTAGAATTGGACAAGGTGATTGGGAACAAACGTTTGCCGGCTTTACAAGATAGGGATGCACTGCCATATATAGATTGCATAATGAAAGAATGCTTGCGGTGCTTTTTTTGATTGTCTTGCTTGCTTGCAATGGTCTGACAGTTATCATATTGCAGATGGAGACCACCAGCTCCTTTAGGTAGTGCTGTCCAGGTCAATCATATACAAGTGGTTAATGTTCTTCCACAGGTCTGCCTCATCGTGCAACACAAAGTGGAGAATTGAAAGGACGACACATTCCAAAAGGCTCTGTAGTAATAGCGAACATTTGGTAACCATTTGTTCTATAGTAATATAAAGCACACTAACGAGAAGTGATTCAAGGCACATGACGCATAGTGAACGCAACTACTCACATCCGGATGACTTTGATCCGGACCGCTTCATGGGTGTTCATCCTGAAATGGAACCAAGTGCTGCTGTGTTTGGTTTTGGAAGACGGTAACTTGCAGCTGCCAGTTCCTCAAGGTAGACGTACTAAGGATATTGTTTAGCATCTGTCCAGGAAGGGTTTTTGCAGAAGCTAGCCTCTGGCTGGTCATAGCAAACATTCTCGCAGTATTTGATATTTCTCCAGCGGCTGATGACCAAGGAAATGAGATACTACCGCAAGGTGACAGTGCTCCAGGATTAGTCAGGTATGAGTTGCATTCATGTCGATTAAAAAGAAAGAGTAAGCTTATTGTTGAAAATGGCATTAAAGTGGTCCTGTCGAATTTCGTTGCAGAATCACTCCGCGTAAACCGACAGCAGTACTGATTATAAAGGAAGCTGGAAGCGCTGTTTAGCTTGGAATCTTGTACCACAGACATGACTACCCTTAATAACATGCGAATTAATATTTTCTTCAAAGTGGATGTAATGTGTGAGCAAACCCATAAAGCCTGACTTGCCAAAACCAGACCTTTGAAACGTTCCCTCTCTCATTTCCCAAAACTTTTTGGTGGACAAAGCGGTGCAAGAATAAAAATACATGGCGAAATTTCCATTTCTATCCTGTGCACTGTTCGATCAAAAGCGATTGTATGAATTTATTACAATAGCAGTAACAAAGTTCACCAACAATTGTCGTGAGACCTTCGAACAGCGGACCTATAGGGTAATATTGTGGATCATTTTGTGTTATAGTCGCAAGGTCTATTTCTATCCATTTACTACACAGTTGACACTTTAAATGAATATTCTGGCCTGTCTCCAGTACGATAGCCATGACTCGACGGTTTTCTCGTTAATCTGTTCGGCAGTCTGCAGTGTCTTCGAAACGCGCACCGCTTTCTCTGACGCAAGCTTCTGCGCTCCAAGCGGCTCAAGGTCCTCGCCTACATGATTTTTTGCAGCTCGGAATACGTCCAGCAAGCGCAGTGCAGGGTTCTTTTCAAATGCTGTCTCAAGATCAGCAGCAGTACCAGAGTGTGCCGAAACGTCAGACTTCTCCAGTGTTTCCAGCCATTCTCCATATGAGACGGTAGGTATGTTCAATGCTTTCGAGAACCACTGCATGACATTGTTCCACTTGACAGGATGAGGATGCACAATGTGGAACACACGCTCATCAGAATCAAGCATGTCCATAATTGCGCCGGATGCAGTGTCCGCCGTAATCCAGGAAACGCTCTGTAAGAGTGAATAAGCGTCTACTGTTGTATACTGGTAAGTGGTGTAGAGGTGCTCACCCCGTCAACTGTTGGGAGCTTTCCAAGAGTCACGCTTGACCTTATCAAGCTCGGGAACCATTCGTGTTCCTTCCACGATCCAGACACTCCTCCTGTAATTTGTCCCGGTCGAATTATGGTTGTCCTCAAGTTCGTCTGCTTTGCAGCTTCGTTTAATATTTTCTCGGCAACCCACTTCGACTCTCCGTATCCGTTTCCAAGCGGGATGCGATCGGTGGGTAGAGGTTCCTCAAGTTCCGCGTATTCGGAGTAGCCTGACCAAGTGCACAGTCAGATGGAATAAGTCCTTGCAGTTGCGGAACGACTCACTCTCCTGAAAGACACCAATAGAACTGATGAAGATGAGACGAGCTGGCACATCGCCCTTGCAGTTGAGACAAAATTCGACAAAGTTTCGCACGCTCTTGATATTACTCTCGAACGACGCAATCGTATTGCTAAAGTTGACTCTCCAACCTGGAGGAAGGATATGAACATGCTAGATATTACGCCAAGGACAGGAATATGAATGTTACGAACCATTATGAATGACATGTGTTACTGTGGATCGCAGCTAAATATTAGGTCTTTAGCATAAGGTAGGAATACGAAAAGAATAAGGCCGACCTCAGTGTATTGTTCTGTTCCGAGTCCAAATTCGCCTTTACTAGGATCACCGTCCAAGGCCTTCAATTTGCCACTGCGTAAGAGATTCAAGTCCATACCCTCCCTCTCGAATGACTTATAAAGCCTGCTTTCGACAATGTCACCTTCCGAAGGTCGAGACAGAGCGTACACGACTGCAACCGAGTCACTTTGAAGAAGTCTAGCGAGCAAGCTCGATCCAAGGGAACCAGTGCTCCCCGTAAGCAGCACAATGTGTCCCCTCTGATTCTTTCTCGTGCTTGCAGTGAAACCCGGAAACGACTGTGTAAACTTGTTCACTAGCTGCAGCAGCTCTTTTTTCCTTGCTTCACGTGATTCCGCCTCGGAAATCTCATGTCCGGCAACCATGGAGCTGATATATCTTGCAAGACCTGCAATGGTGGGATGCTCATATACGAAGTTCGCGGAAATTTTGTGAACAAGTTTGGTATGCGATTCACGAAGGGCGCGCATAATTGTGTTGCGGATCCATGTTGCTTGCAAACTCAACAGTACAGATTAGTTGCGGTCACCGGACTTCCACTGGCTAACTCACCTGTCCAACCCGTATTCAAATAGGTCCGCCTCGTCTCCAAACGTCTGTACGTTCCTCTTCTGAGTCTTCATCGTGTGCGCAACGACGTTCCTTACGAACTCGAGGACAGAGCTTTCGGACCAATCCTTTGGAGTACCAATATCAGTTTGGGCACTCTCTTCAACAGCAGCGTAAACCGCGTCAATCTCCACCGCGTAAGCATCAAGAATCCTCTGCCGCCGTAGTGTCCTCTTTGGGGTATACTCAAATGGCTTTTCCGGAGAAGTGACAATTATCATCTAGAAGGCATACCATCCTTTAAGTTTGGAAAGGGAGTACCTTGAGATAAGTGACGTACCTCTTTAAAAAGACGAGAGTGCGTTGGAGCGAAAGCATTGACTTTTTCGGCCGTTGGCCTGCACAATTAAGTATATAATGACGCAACGAGGATAATGTATAACGAACCAGATAGCGTTACGAAATTCCTCAAGTTCTGACGTGCTCAAATGATTAACAAGGTAGTCCTTCTTCGGTTGGATGAGTACACCACATTGGAAGCGTCCGCGTCCGAACATGACTGCATCTTGAATGTGCGGATCTTGCTTAAGCATCCATTCTACGATTCTGTCTATTACTCCCATCTAAAACTGGAGTAATATGATTATCTTACCCAATGGTCCAGGATTCGTCTTCTCTCCGTTCGAATGCATGATTTGGTCGTCGGCGCGTCCAACTACTTTATAGTAACCTGGCTTCGTCGGATGTGGAGACACAAGATCGTCAGACGCGTATGCATCAACTCCATCGATCTTTGTGTTTATGACTAGAGGTCTGAAGTTTTCATTTGTCTAGAATGCATGTGTTTAAGCACACTTGTCATACCGATAGAAAGGTAAATCCACCGACGAGAGTCACTACTCTGAACACGTTATTGCCGAAATCCTCAAGGTGTACCTTCTTGCTGGACAAGAATTTGAAGTAATCCCAGTCCATACCAGGTGGCTCTAATGGAAGAAAACGGAAAATGAGTAATGGCCAGAGAAAGAGTTATTTCATCATACTTGGCAGGTATTCGCTCAATCCCAGAGTCTCCGTGCTTGAGGAAAAAAAGTAAATATTTCTGACGAGCCCGTCCAAAAGCAAACGTACGATGCATATGTTTGGTAAACGTTGACACCATTCCTAGCAAGGGTATCACCCGCGTGCTTTGCAAGAGGACCACCACCGTACACCTATGAAAGTCTAAGCCGAACTTGATAGCAATATATTTCCTTGATGTTGGCACGCACCACCCCTTTCATCTTTGCCATTGCTTTAACCTTCAATTTGTCCTGCGCCCATTCCTATTTACATTATAAGTGATTTTACATAGTGCCATGAAGTTTGCGCGCTTACCTCATAGAATGCCGGCGGACTGAACATGTACTCAGACTCTGTAACAATTGCTCCCTCAAAGACGTTCACTGGGTTTGGCACAGTAGCAGGCGAACGAGGTTTGAAAACAGCTAAGGTGAATCCGGAGGTGGCCTAATTACTTCAGTAATGTGAATTGGTACACATGAAGTCAGATAGACCAACCGGGAAAGTCAACGGAAGTGAGCCCATAGCATGGAACATCGCTATGCAATGAACGGCAACGACAGAGCCTATTGTATCCACTTCGCCCGAGACTAAATAAACAGTCCGTTGTCCACTTTGCCAAAATGTTTCTCCTTGTAAACTTACGAGGGAGGCTTGCCATCCAGAATGCAGCTTCATGTGTCCAATATATTGGTTTCGGAAACGATGTCGTTCCTTCAAGGTGAAAGGTTAGAATTGTCTAAAATGATGTTTCCAATTCATTACCTACCAGAAGAATGGTAAATAATAGCAAGAGAATTCATGTCTAGCTTTGCCGATGGAACGAATGGGAACTGCGGATCGAAACCTTCGCCCGGAAATAGTCTTTCGAATACTGGTATGTCGTATTTACGAAGTTCCGGACATTCACTAGTCTCGATTGCATCATCCGCAAGTTGCTGGAGAGATGGTTCCGAGGACACAACGATACCGATGGGCTTCGCCTTGGATAAAAGGTGTGCAGCGGCGGGAGCACTATTACGAGGCGAGATTGGAAATATTGTACATCCTGTCCTCAGCGCACCGATAAGACAGCAGAAGAATGTGATGGTATCTGGAATTCAAGCGTCAATCTGGTGTACATAATGCTCAAATACTTAGACAAAATCTGAACCTGATGCAGCTAAAATGGCGACAATGGGAGGGTTACTGCCGGTCTGTCGGAGCAACGCATCACCGAATTGCTCGCGGAAGTACTGTGTTGCCCTGTGCACGCCTTGCATAGCTTCACCATAGCTAATTCTCCTTAGGTGACCTGGCGAATCCTCGTAAACGAAAAACGGAAAATCCCTGTTATGTTCATAGTGCCAATCGTATAACTCCGGGACTGTAAGAGATTGATCTAAAGGAGGGCGGATGAAAGGCATGTTCGGCTGTCTGGGCTGCACACCTGTCGGATTTCAATGGATAGAGCAGGCTTTGGATGGACGGGAGATGTCCAGCTACATAAACGAAGCGCGCGGGTCACATTCAAGCTCACGGGATCGTACTCATGTGAGATATGCACTGGATTTCATCATTGGGTGTACTCCTTCCGGCTTCTTCGGCATGAGTATGACCTTAGCTTTTTCAAAGGCTATTTTCGACGAGTAGTGGAACTCACGAGAAGTAAAGGATATGTCAGTGTCGCTGACGACGTATCTATGAATAGGTAGCTTGGGCTGCCGTGCAACCGCGCGCATGAGCAAAATAGCGTCGCGGTAACTCAGGCATCTACCTGCGCCGATATTTTTGGCAAATGGGCGCTGATGCTGAGTGCTTATTGAGGTTGGTTACGATTTCTGAGACGGGATAGCAGTGCACCAAAGTGCTGGCAAAGGAACATTAAAGAAGAAGAAAATGAAAGACCCGTTATTAGACACTTCGTATTACATAACAACCAATTGGAGAGTAGACTCAGTAGAGTTATCTAAGCGAAACTCTTTCTGAGCGCAATAGTTACAGGAACTCCTTTCGCAGGACCTCGGTAGTTCAAACTTCAGCGGGACTCTTCCATAAATGACATGCAGCTCTCGGAGCGCTGTTTCGCTATCCCGAAGTCCCCTCAAACCATTCGATGTGTATCACATCTTCTAACTGCACGCTTCTGTGGACTGGATCAAGCGGCTAGCCACTAATAGTGGCTAAAGCGCGGTAGACCAACTTGACTCCCTACACTCCGCCTAGGTCTCCGATGACATATGAAGTCTTATGCGTTAGATCTCTGTCTGCGTAATGTTCCGAAGGTATAAAAGTTTAACAGCAAACTAAATATCAGACATCAACATTTATCACTTTGCTATGATAAGAGGCATTCATTTGAAATGAGGGGTCTGCAGCCCACTGGCACGAAAGGCAGGTGGGACAATTGAATGCAATGCCACATCAAGCTTCGAGAAATTTTTCGAGGTTGGGTGCGGATGGCCCCGCGGTTCTCTAAGATAGAACATAACACATGCCCATTCTGCAGCCCCTTTCGCACATTAAATAGTGACCGATCAGTATGATTTCCTATTCTTAATCCAGTAAATATTGCCTCGGTGACCAGAACGTAACTCATATATCGTCATGTTTGACATTTGTGACCTACATCCATGGTCTATCTTTGATCATTGGATGTAGAACAGTGCGGAACATCGCAGAAGATGGATCCTCCATCCTAGTATCGGAAGTGTCTCTATTTTCTGTGTCTCAGCTCTGCCTTCGACTTCCTATGATTGTGGCCTGGCGGAAGGTGATCAATACTGAATTTTACTGATACATGTATCATGTGCATCTTCATATCCACGCTTGCGGACGGCTTCGTCGGCAATGATACTAGACAAACTACCGAGCATTGAGACCTGAACTTTAACATGTCGTAAAGTACCTTTTGTCCCTGGAGAGCAGTTGTATTTTATCCGAGGGATGACTTCGGATAAATTATTGTCGTGGAGTGAGAGGACTTGTTCAAATTACGGGGCGGAAGTGAACAGGATCATGGTTCTTTAGCGATGTGAAGTCGCAATACAGGTGAAAACTACAAAGCCATCCGGTACAAAATTATAAACACAGTCCAACAAAATACAGACAGGCACCGAAACATGATGTAAAGCAAGAAACCATGCGATAATGTAGTTTTACACATCTACGAACGAATCACCTTCTGCCTGCTTGACGTCCGAACGCCTGCCAGTGATCCCAAGTGAATCATCATCGCCGGCTGTTCCATCGGAAACAGCTCGTCCATTGTCGTCATTCACAGTCCTTGTAGTCGCGAGATGGACGACAAGTGGCTGCATCGGTATGGGATTTGGTACACGTCTTGATCCCGGTCCACCACTGCGAACCTGTGAGGAGCTATGGAATTTCTGCGAAGGATTTGAAGCAGAAATTCCCAGTCCGATTCGAACGATAATCAATGAGAACGTTATTGCCTGTATTAGAGAGTGGAAGAGAGTGAGAAAAGTAATCAAACACGCTATGAATGAATTTACAATAATCTGCACTACCATATCCAGGATAATGTAATGACCCCACGACCTACTCAGAAACGCTGCTATTAACGAGATAAGAGCAGCTGAGTATATGCTGCCAGATTCGACGACGATAGCTAGGACAGGGGAGAGATTTCGACCTCGAGTATAGCGGCCCAACTGACGGCCGGTCCACCAGATTTTGGCAGCTATGAGGGCTGACATTACGTTTAGAATAAATATGACGTGGAATACAACTGAACTAACTTACTTGTACATGCAAGGTTTGTAAATAGTGTAAGAGCGAAAAATGCAACTATGGAAGCTCCTAGCTCAGGAACAAAAATCAAGGTAGTCGCAGGAGCCTGCGCTGCGTTAATGAGAGTAATTATCGATGCTGCTGGGAGTCCATCAGTAAAATGATCAAGGAATAGCTAATAAGCAAAATGCTCACCTAAACATCCTAGAACACATGCTACAGCGGGTATTAGAAGTCGAATGTCTCGTCCCCAAACCATATACATTCGATAGATCTATTTCGCGTAAACAAGTCAGGAGACCGTATGACAGAACTCCAAGTCTACCGACGTACAAGGAAAGAGTCACCGATAAGCGTTTGGACCATGTTCATACTAACTTTCGCAAGATACATAGGATCATCCGAAGCGGCAAAATAACTATCTGCTGCCTCACGTCCTCCAGACAAGAGAATAAACGCTATGACAGCCCGACGCGTATTGATTGCCACATGCTGAACCCGGAAACAAAATATTTATCTCCTGAACTCGAAATCATAGTTTGAAACTCACCACAAATGCGACACAATACATCAATACTGCCACGGCTAGAACTGGCTTATTCATCATCCCAGAAGCTCTCCTTCGAAAAACCAGGATGTAAATAGTTGCAGCGAACAGCGCAGTGAGCAACCCTGCAGCACAGAAGTCAGAAGCGTACATCTCTCAGCGGCATATATAGGAGCCGGGCAGATTAGATGGGTATCTCGGTGCTCACCAAACAAAATGGACTCTAACACGAGAGCCATTAACGACGACGTATCCAGACCTATCGCCATGTTGAGTACGAGCTGAGTTAGTGGGCGTGAAAGCTCGAGCAATATGTCGCGTGTCACATATATAAGCGGAATATAAACATCCGCAATGCTTATTTTTGTATACCCCGGTGATACCTGATCACAAGTGTCCGTATTCAGCACCCGGCTGCGTCTGGGGCCACTGTGCCGGACTTCTAAATCTTATTCCATCACCACAGAGGTTCTGCTCTTCCATTACCAAAAGAACATCGATGAGCTCTAAATTCATTGCGAAACATCCGGTGGTTGTCGGTGAAATTTCTTCTATAAAACGGCTGGCATGAATACTCGATCGTTGCATTCTGTCCTGGGCCCTTCCCAATTCAACCAGTGACCCAAGTTGCCAAAATGAAATTCACGTATCCATTATTGGAGAGTAGATCGCGTTGGCTGACAGATATTACTGTGTGAAAGATTCTTCAGTGAGCACGTCCAGAGAGTGGCATGTGGCACGGCATGTGGCACGGCATATTGTGATGCGCACAAGAGCCTGCCCCTACCAGAGAATAGTAGCGTAAGCTCCGTCTTGTCAGCAATATCTGCTCGACGAATCGATACAACAATTGCGTTCATTGTATGACCCACGTCCAATGCTACGTAGGAATCGGTGTATCAATCGCCCTTGCTGTTCACAGGACTCAGCTGGTTGGTAGATTTAGTCCACATGCGAAATTAGAGAAACAGAAGTTGAGTTGTACCAACTTACTGAGTGACCATTTCCCACGCCTTCGATCACGTGTGCACCAGGTACGCTGTCTTATTCGGATCCACTCGCAGCAGGCAGGAACAGATCAATCAAGCCACCTACGTTCCGCACATAAGGCGTGCCTTTACCTTGATTCTTCGAAACTTCGAAGACTGGTTAGGCATGTCGAATCAACTTCCACAGGCTGGCGAGGCACCGCAGAACCTCGGTACCGAATTTGAAAACATCTCTACGCTTCAAGACCCGCCTCTTCCGTGAGTCTGCATGAAATTCTCCGTCACGTACAATGGCCCTGGTACACCCCCGAAACCAATTGGAGAGCCTACCATGAAGTACGTAGGATACGAATAGTTCCTTTTCGACTCATACCGGGACGTCTGCACCATCTGACCTGTCAAATGTCTAATCATAGAGCAGCGCTCAATACCGGGCTTCTGATTTATTCTCAACTTTGAGCTCTGGAGTCTTCTAGACAACCAAAGCTTCTCGTCGTTGTGTGAAATCTTCAGGCGGCTCTACACTGCAACGATATACATGAGAAGATTTGGGCTGTGATGCGATTCGGCCCTTCTCCCGAAGCCACGACGACAACCTTCAACAGAAACAACCATGAATTTTATAAATGCACAAAGGAAGATGCGTGTTATCGGACTCTACAATTCACTTTCCATCCAATGTGCAAGAGATTTTTGTTGTAAGTGCATTTGTCCGCAGTTTCATTGATGTGTATTATAAATAGGCGTCTCCAAAGAGACTTGAAATAAATCAAATAGATAATAGGCAAAGTCGCGCGGGTGCAGTCTTTTACTGGTAGTTACCTGCGTTTGATCTTTCCATTCATAGTTCACCGAAAGAACCGAGGAATATCACCATACTTATGCTCATTTGCGGAGAAAATGTATGATGGCCTTGTTAGACGTTGCATTGACTCCAATTAGATCTAGCAGTCTATAGTTTGTATGATGAAAATCCCTCGAAAAACAGACAGTAGTCGGCACATCAGATCCTTGTCCACCAGTTCTAGCTTTACGCGTTAATGCGATCGCGGATCGCAAGTTGCATCAATCGATATTGGGATTAACGCCGGGCCGGGAGCATACATTCTGTATTCCCTGTACTCTCTGGGTCGGCCAACGTTAATCAAATCGGCGGTGCTATTTATCAAACCGAAATTCGCACTATCAGGCCTTTTGATGCATTCGCTGAATCACGAACATTCTGAACAGATGCACGATAGCAGGAGTAATGCTCCACATAAGATTTCTCCCGAAATAATTGATGAGCCATTCGTTTCGTCAATCAGTGGGGCACTCCCCGCGAGCATCGTACATTCTCATATTCTATGTCCCTTAAGTTAATTGCTAGTGTACATGCGTAACAGAAAGACCAATGATGGAAAGTATGGGGAGGTATATCGTGTACAGGGGTTGATAGAATTAAATAATAAATATCTTCATACGTCTACGAACGATTCTCCACCAGAATGTTTGCTCCTAGGGGGCGCCATTTGAGTTCCGAATGAATCTGTTTCTCCACCTTCTGTAACAAGTTTGCCAGCATCATCCTTAACGGAACGCGTTTGTGCGAGGTGAACAACGAGAGGCTGCATAGGCATCTGCTCTTGTATGGCACCGCGAGATCCAAGTGAGACGTTTCGTCCTTGGGAGGTACTGCGGAAACGCGTTGACGCATTTGAGGCCGAGATTCCCAGTCCAATGCGAACAATAATGAGTGAAAATGTTATTGCCTAGTAGACTTATGATGAGCAAGGCCAAATTATACCCTCGTGAGCAACGCACTATAATCGGAGTCATCATGTCCAAAACTATATAGTGTCCCCATGTGCCGCTGAGATACGCACACATCAGTGAAATGAGGGAAATGGAGTATACGCTGCCCGATTCGATGATAATAGCCATGACCGGAGTAAGATTGCGCCGATGAGAGGCGCGACCTAGTTGGCGGCCTGTCCACCATATTTTGAAAGCTATAAGTGCTGTGCAGGAGACGCCTTAATAAATAGTATGATATGTCGTTTGTAAGTGCCACTTACCAGTGCAGGAGGCATTCGTAAAGAGCGTGAGGGAAAAGAACGATACAATCCATTGCTTCAGTCGTGGAATGAAGATTAACGTCGTCGGGGAAACGAGTGAGGCATCAATAGCCGCCATAATCGCGCAAGCTAGGCACTTTTCAGTCTACTGAGTCATTGTTGGATCGAGCCGTGCTCACCGGTGCCAGCGAACAGGAAAATTAAAGCAGGTATTAGGAGACGAAGCTCTCGGCCCCAGACCATGTACAAGCGGTAAATCTTGCAGCTCATAAATTAGCCTTGAAACGAATCAAGTTGCGACAATTTTACACCTACAATGAACGCATCCCCCGTGATTGTCTGGATGATGTACATACTAATTTTGGCGAGATACAAAGGATCTGCAGACGCTTTGAAGTATGCGACTGTGCTTTCATGTCCGCCCGGCAAGGCGATGAAAGCGTAGACTGCACGGCGTGCATTGAGGGCAATGTGCTGTTCGACACCAGAAGTTTCAAATCAACTGGATTCAATGTAGAGAGATTGCCGCTTACTGTAAACGCAACGCAATACATCAGCACAGAGACAGCGAAGACCGGTTTATTCAGTGCATTCCCGTGCCTCCTTCGAAACAGAAGGATATATGTCGTCGTCGAAAAACACGCTGTAAGTAGACCTGATACAGCCATTGTAAGTTGAAGCAGGTCGAGATTGAGAAATTGCATCTGTTGCCTCACTCACCGAACATAATAGACTCCATCACGAGAGCTAGCAAGGACGCTTCATCGAGACCTATTGCCATGATCGCAGATGCGAGGCCCACAGCACAACATACATTCTCCAAAGTCGTTTTCTTATAACCAGGTGGTGGAGCATAAATGGAGTATACACTCGACGCACAGTATGCTAGACAATTTTGGTATCTTGTCTGATCAAATATGCTCATCATTGTGATGACCCGGACTCGTTAATCGGATTTCTCCGCCAGACGCCCATGTGATCAGCTGGGATCGCCATGACGTGCAGTGGCATTGCGCCTCGCAGGGATCCAGCTTAAAGAAGAATGTGAGCTATCAGCCAATAAAGTTCTTCCTGGTCCTTTCAGGAGGACCGTCTGCGGGCTCGCACGACGTATTGAGTGAGCAACAATGGACATAGACGAGCAATTATCAGGAGTAAAGCTCGTCCTAATCCTCAACTAACGCATGAGTTCATCACGGATTCGAGAAAAATAGTGAAGAGAGCGGATGCACAAACCTTTTCCTATTGCTGGTATAATCCCGACATTCGTCTGATAGCAAGGAAATCGCGCTGCAGTATGGCCAACAAGGTGGTCGGCAAGCGAGCGAATCATTGTTGCGAGTCTCCATTGACCAGCCATATTTGGTAGACTATGGCGCGAGAAGGTCTAATTCTGATGCTAGACGTTCCCTGCTCTCATGGTTCACTACAACTAAAGAACTTCGGATCAAAGGCACCAACGATAACGGAGTGTATGCACAACATCCATCACCAGAATACGAATGATGATCTGTCACTAGACGTAGGTACGCGCATGGTCATGATCCCTTACTCGGACTCCTCACCTGAAGACTCAGCATCTGCGCAGGGTGCGGCAGCGAAAGGAAGCAGTCTATGCCAACTGGGGCAGAGACAGCCAAGGTCTATCTGATTGGATAGAGGCAAGCTATTCTTAGACGTCCGAGACTCGGCAGCGAGGGCTGCTTAAGCACAAAAGCACCATTCGGCGGAGACTCCGTCCCGTCGAGTCGAGCGTCGACGACGAGCGAATTGTTACTGCCACTAGTAGTAGTAGTACTGTAATCAAGGTCGTAAGTGAGGCTGGCGGAATGGAATAATCACGTGATATGCCTGATTTCGCCTGCCGACGTTACCATATACCATGAAAATAGATCTTCTTAGCATGGGTGAAAATGTTCTTTTCGGCCTTTTCAGTAGATACAGAACCCATTACTGCAAATTCAAACTATAACAAGAACATAGAGCGTTGCACATTTGTCGGTAGTCTAGGATACATTCAGTCTTCTTCACGGAATACAGCAGCATCTTCATGGCCACCATCATCGGCCAGATCCACCTCGCTTATTCGCCTGACTAAGTTTTCCAATTCAGTTAAGCCTTGTGCCCGTCTCTCTTCGTCAGCCTTGGTGGAGCTATCTACTGGTTCTGTCGGGTCCCAGTCAAAATCTTCACCAGTATAACCTCCTCCAAGATAAACGTAATTGATGAATTCCTTCCAAAGAGGATCTAAGGCTAAGACGAACGGGTCTCCAATGACAATTAGGAGCGCTTGAGCGCGGGTCACGGCAACTAAATGAGAATTGTGAGTAGCAGCTAGAGAGCAAAGAAAGAAAAACAAAGTTGGCCTGTACCATTGAAGCGCCTTGGGTTTGCGACGAATCCAAGTGTGTGGCGTAGGTCGTAACTTATCATGTCACGCGAGGACCGTACGGTTGATATTATTATCACTCTCCTTTCCTTGATAGTGATGGGTCAATAATTTTTACTCCTAAGAAATGCAGGACGTTTATACCTGCCCCTGAAACTCCTCGACACTCCCGACTCTGGTCTCTCTTGCAAATGTCCCCAGTAGTTGCCGGACTTTACGCACTTGTGCACGGTAGGGAGTAATCACACCAATGTCCTCAGGATCTGAGGAATAAACCGTCAATTCTTCACGTAATCCATACAGACTAGTAGTTTACTCAGGCGAAGGGCTCCAACACTTAGAAGACTCCTGACGTAATCCCTGACAAGGCTCGCTTCATCGATGTTGAAATACGAGGGCGAGGATGCTTCACGCTCGTCTTGTCCACAAGTTGAATGAAATATAATAGGGAAGTCCTTGTTGATCAGTCCATCCCATCTACTAGCAATAGAATGTGAGATCTCGCGGCGTGCACATGCCTCGAGCTCATTCTTGTAGAATTTCCTGTTAGGGAAATCAAGGATTGCTGGATGAGATCGGTAGTTCTTTGTTAGTTTAACCATCCTAATCAACGTATTTAGTTCAGTGCAGATGAATTCCAGTGTAGGTTGACGTACGATTTTCCTTTCGATGCATCCTCGTTGTACATTGATGTAAGCATGAGTCGCTCCAGATAGCTCATACTGAGTCCCAGCTCGCGTGCCACGGGAGAGCGCACAATTGGTCCAAGTTGCTTAATATCTCCAGAACAGATGACGTTGGTTTGGGGACCAAGCATTGTCCGAATCGGAATCATGATCTCGGGTTCAATCCCTTGAGCAGCTTCGTCGACGAAGATGTGCGAGAAATGACCCGCCTCGACGCCCATTCCATAGAGTGTTGAAGCATTACAACACGTACTTACAATGACTCGGAATGTTTTGAGTTCTTGTACGGTTGGGCAAACAAAAATACCATCTGAGTTGCGATGTGTAAACTTGAGTACATTTTTGGGAATGCAACTCTCTGTGCGCGATGGGGCAACCAGCCGGATTAACTCGTTCTCTTTGAGAGCAGAAAGACGCTCTGTAAGAGTATCTGCTGCAGAGTTACTCGGTGCACAAGCCAAGATACGTGCGTTTTGATTCCTGGAAATAATTTGGCGTATAGCTTCTACTATTGTTACAGTTTTACCTGTCCCAGGCCTAAAAAAAAGTAGATAGGAGTATTAGGAGTATTACAAGAGAGGAAGTAATAACTCACGGGCCAAAAACGATGAATGGTACACTTCCTGCAGGCATATAGAGTATTGATGCAACTGCATGACGTTGACTGTGGTTCTCTGCGACTTTGGCATTGAAGAGTTCAAGAGATTCTACCAGGACATGCGATACTGTCTTCAGCTCTTGCGCAGGGTCAGGAAAAGCGGCCCGTGAAGAAAACGTTGGACAGGTCAAAGCCTGATGCATTCTACGGAATACTAGTCGGTTGAGGTCGAAGTGGACGTTATATGTGGCATTGGCTTCGACTTTGAACTTCTTGTTGAAATAAATAAACACGAATTTATCCTGAACGTCATAGACAAATCCTTGATATGGAGTGCTCGATGAGTTTGACAGTACAGCAAATATGCTGTCGCCACGAAGGACGCTTGGACGTTTCTCGGCAAGGCCAGGTATTTGCAGTCTGGATAAATATCAACGCAAAACCGATTTACAAATCAACGAGAGACGTACTTGAAAAGCTTTCCTTGCGGAATGAGTTTGACATTTTCCATGTCATACCCAGAGAGTTCTTGCCTAACACCGATCTCAATTAATTGTTAATCTATCCAATTAGGATGCTTACCTTGCCTGTTCCTCTTCAATCCACAGCATTGTTTGCAAATGCCTGCTATATTGTTTCTCTCGAAACGTTCCAGGCATGAAAGAAGAGCGGGTTGCATTTACTCTGTCCTTGATACCTATGCCTTCCGCGAAAGCGGCTTCGATTAGACCACCGGGCTGATTGAACTTGCCTAGCTTTTTAGCCCATCGTATGTTCGTAAGGTACGGAGGACGAATACCAGGGATGAATCGAGTAATCCTGGGTCTGCCATTCTTCTTTCGCGGTATGTATGATTCCGTAGCCTTCAACGTCTCGTGATCGAACTCAGAGCCAACCCTCGCAGTAATAAGCCGGGTTATTACGAATCTACGATTTTGAGCTGGGATCTCAAAACATAATTCGAGTCTACTCTCAAAATTTCCCCGTTGCTGCTTTCTGACGGATAGTTGAATTTTGATGTTCGTTGAGTTTGTGCAGGTGATTGAGCGACGTCTGGTTGCGTCAGTGACTTGGAAACTTGAATGATCACGCGTTAATCATGTATAGAAAAGCAGACAGCATAAATTCGGAGACTTACACGTCAGCCCTGACACAGGAAGTCAGCTTGGCTTCCACAAGGTCGATTGTGAAAAAGCTCCTATTCATGATCTTGACGTCTTTCGTCGAGGTAGTGGTCTCGGAGGTCTTGTCGATAAATCCGAAATTCACAATATCGCAGTCAAGTTGGACACCATATTTGTCGACCTCTGTCTTGTGCGATGAGTTGGTGAGAACCTGGCATGCAACGCGAGATCTGTGGCGTTTTCCCTTGGCATGCTGAGCCCACAATTTGTTGTGGACGAAAGTGCTGCAAACATCGCAATGCCTATGATTGTCAGGAACAGTTGTCTCGGCTGGCGGGGTTTTAGCCTGCGACTGGGCGGCAGCTGACTTAGCCTTGTGCTTCCGACCTCGCATATGATCTTCATAGTCTGCCTGGTTTAAGCTCAGCACAGAGCAAAGTGCACAACTGTATGCCCGACGATGCGCTTGCGCCTTGGACGCCTCGTGTTGCCTGCACGCCGATTGAGAAGCGAACGGGGCACGACATACTGAACATCGATACACCGTATGGATCAGTGAGCAGCCGTGTATATTACAGGTTCTCTCTGCACGAACGTTGGGGCAGATTTTGTTCATCGTAAGGGATTACAGTGAGGCGTAGAGGAGAGGCGGATAGCAAGAAGGAGAAGAGGCCTTTGCATTGCGTACCATAACCCCCAAGCCAGCCTTTTGAACCAAAGACGGGCGTCTAACTTATGCCTCGTGTTCGCCCTTTGACTAGCAGGCCCAGGCGTAGATCGTGCGGCTGTGAACGTGTCGACCCCCGTGATTCATAATGCCGTAACATGTAGAACAAGCCTCAACCTTGTGTACGAACAAGAAAGCAGCTATAGTGTTAGATGTAGCAAATGCGACTCCGAGGCAGGTGAAAAAGTTGACATACCCGAGCTAAGAAGCTAGTGATAAAGATATTCTCGTACTAGCTTCCTATTAGAACGAAAAGTCGTTCTAATGGACGGCGCTACAAGTCCAGAGGCATCTTCAAGCCTGTTCCGGTTCTGCATTGCATATGTTAAGATTTGATGCAGACTGGATCATCAAAACGTTTGTACTCGACCGTCGGGTGGAGTGCTCTAATAACAGGATAACAGGCCGTTCATGTAGTGATAAGAACTTCCCCGTTGACACACCCCTTGTGCCAGAAGCCCCTTACCACGCCTTTGGGCGTCTACATTTGTCCGGCTTTTCAAATTCATCCCGCGTGTTGTTCTTGTTGCATGGTTGCATGGAAATCGATTCAACAAATCAACGGAAGTAATATCAGATAGAAGCCTCAAGCCGGCATTGAATCCAGCACTGGATATCCCAGAATTGTAGCACCATCTTGCAAGTCGCTAGTTATATGCTACTAGCTGCGCAGTGTGGTAGTTCTTGAAGTCGATCAGGATTCAGAATTTCAGAGTACTGATACGTGACCGTGGGAAGAAATAATCACATCCATTATGAGAACTCTATATCGCTCACAGTGGCTATACTGTTGCCTGATCCACCCCTCGTACCCCTTTCTCCAGCCTCCTTCATATTGATGACCAGATGGCTACCAATAACGCAAAGAACTAGTGGATTTCCCATAACTCCCAAAAACTCTGTAAACATCGACGCTTGTAAGACCTCTGACAAAATTTGTGCGAGGGTATTGATGACAAGTCTGACAAGCTATTGTTAGCCCGTAATATCTGAGAAGGATGGGTAAGATGCATACAGCACAAAAAATAGTGCCTGGTCTTGAATCAGAACTTTCACAAGATCAACACCTGTAGATCCAGCAGACTCCCGCCAGAACTGTACCGCCTTATAAAGTGATAATAACATAAATATAAGATCATACATCAAAGGAGGAATCCTGCTCAAATTACATCAGACATGTAAAATTTCGGATCCGTAAAGATGTTACCAGGCTGCTGCATATGACTTCGGAATGGCTCTGTTATCGCCCACACCTCCACAGAAAGTGAATCCTCCGGTAATTTTCTGTACGCCAACTGGACAATATTTATGATTCGCGTATGCAAGTAGAGTTTGCTGTACTATTACCTTTTTCATAGACCACGACATAAACGAGGAGTGCAAGGGTATAAACCGCCTCTAATGCAAATAAAGCTCGCAAGCAGCGAGTGACGAACTTTCCTGTATATAATTTTAAGTAAAGGAGCGTTGTGGACGGATATAACATAACGTACCTCTGGAATACAGAGCTAAGACCCTCATTAAAAGAACATCTAGATTGCGTTCAGAAAGGGATAAAGAATAAATGAAGCAACAGGCGGTAATACACTCAATGAGAACGAAAGTTGCCCAATCTTGTTAATTGTAAGCAATGGCTCAAATCAGAAATATGACTTGTAGCCTCACCAGCAAGAAGTTCCGACCATTTGCTGAAAGAACCTTCGGAATCATTAGACCTTACTGGTTAACAACTACCTATAACACTCACAGCTTATGAAACATCCTATGAGCATAGTTCATAGGATAAAATGATGATCACTTACATTATTTTGTTTACAGTGAACGTTTTTGCTGTCCAACAAAATAAATGTAAGGATCCATTTATGCATGCGATGGGCAAATAGATCTGCCTACATGCTACACCACATGCTGCGCCGAAAAGTCCAATGTACCGGTTCTGGAAGGTTAGTGTGTAAGTATTCAAGGTCACGCAGTGTGTGCAGCTGCTGGACTTACTGCAAAGTAAATAATGCTAATGAATTTTCGAGGAGAATTCTTTCACATATTAATCAGTGTACTATCAAAGAATGGACGACGGCTTTCTTTTGCTTTACCCAAAAGTATTTCACCTATGTTGATAGTAAATATTAGCACACTTTTTGAGGAGTGCATTGCTCACCTCTTGCTCAATACAGATTACTACAGGTCAGGGCTTCAGCAATGCATTCACAAGAAAATAAGTAGAAGGTAAATGTTACTTGTATCATATGCCAAGAGGGATAAAAGAGCAACCTGGCAGTATTGAGAAATGATCTTGCTCAGGACAAGATTGGCAAAAGAACTGAGGTCCGGTGTAGGCATAATGAGAGCGAGTGTGTGTAAAGTATGGGAGAGGCGGGTGAATGCCGGACTGAATAGCACTGGGAGAACTTCAGCTTCATTATATACTGTCGTCACCAGCTTCTGTTGACTATCCTCGGCATTGCTGGGAGAACGCAGCGCAGTTGCCCAGAAGTGCCGGATGTAACAAAGGGAAAACAAGGTAGCGACAAACACTGCTGCAGAACAGACTAACTGACTTCCAAATCAGAAAATGTGTCGTACTTCATAAAAGCAATCATAAACACGAACACGTTGATCAAGCAATGTCTGTAAAAATATTGTTGCAAGGACGGAGATATTGTCAAGTTTTGTTCCAGATATGCGTTGCGTGTAGCAAGTATTGATGATGAAACAGATCGTCGAGGCATTTTCCAATCCGATCAGATGGAGTAATCTAATATTAAGTTATCATAATGAGAACCTCAGTTGAGGCACGTCCCTCGTACCGAACTTGCACGAGGTCGTATGAGTATCTGCACGGACACAAGTTTTCACGATCACCTCATGTCAATGTTTGTTTCATGTTGCATGGTAACACGGCGAATAACACAAAGAGACGGCGTTTGTAGTAGACCACCAGAACTAAGTGGAACGGTGCGAGAGCGAACAGTGGTGACTGTCCGGCTTATTTCGTCATCGTCCGAAGTCAAAAGCAAGCTAGTGTCTCATAGGCATTACAAATCACAGAATGAAACTCAGTCCCATATTATCAGACTGAGGTGAACCTCCGAAGATTGTCCTATGCCATTGTTCCTTTTATTCACTTTCATTAATGCATTAGTATCTGTACAGATAGTTATTACTACAGTATATGAGGCTTGTATTATCAAACTGAGAATTTGTAAAGTAGTTGATTTCAAACTCAGTAATTCATTGTACCAAAGAACAACCCTTCCTTTCGAGGTTATTCCTTTTCAAACTTCAAGAGTTACTACATCTCTTGTTACACAAGAATCAATAAATGCATTTTTTTTGCAGTACTTGGAATATGTCACTTCAGAAGCAAAAAAGAATTGATTATTACTTTCAAGAAAAATTCATTCTCTGTATTACTGTGAGAATGGGTACAAAGTATAGAAAACTACATAAAGCTCAACTTAGTGTAGGTTTGAAGTGGCACTGATACAAATGAAAGAGACTTTATGCACTATCATATTAAACAATACCATAAACATACATGGATTTCTTCAAATAATATACTGTGAGCAAATAGCAAGTTTTCGTTCTTATTATTCGCCAGTTAAGGTATAATTTCCGTGATTCTCTGGAAGTAGTTTTCGTCTTGTGGGATACAGGCAATATCGAGCTATAATTCTTTTTTTGGCTAGCAATGCTCAGTAACAGGGCAAATGATATATACATGCAGCTGCAATTTCCTCATGGCAGATGGTCGACGGACGTTGTATTCTCGTGCTCTAGAGAGAAACTTATTTAGAAATCAGATAACCAGCAGCGTCTATTTATTATTTGTTACAACTTTACATTATGCAAACTCTATAGTGCTTATAATGGGCACGCTGTTCAATGTTCCTCCTCTGGCACCTTTTTCGCCAGCCTCCTTCATATTGATGACTAAATGACTACCAATAACGCAAAGAACTAGTGGATTTCCCATAGCGCTTAAAAATTCAGTGAATATCGACGCTTGTAGGACCTCCGATAAAAATTGAGCTAGAATGTTGGCAACGAGTCTGACAAGTCACAATTAGGGTTCACTGTATCTGAGAAGGACGAGCAAGATACATACAGTACAAAATATAGAGCCTGGTCTTGTATTAGAATCTTCACGAGATCAACACTCGTGGATCCTGCAGTCTCTTTCCAGAACGCCACCGCCTTGTAGAGTGATAGTACCATAAATATAAGGTCATATATCAGCGGTGGCATCCTGCTCCAAACAAGTCAGACATAACTCTGATTTTGCAAAAAAATGCTTACCAAGCTGCTGCATATGATCTCGGAATGGCTCTGTCATCGCCTACGCCTACACAGAAAGCAAACCCTCCGGTAGACTGCTGTATGCCAACTGGATAATATTTGTAAGCGGATTCTTTACAGAGAGACTGCGTGTATTTACCTCTTTCGTAGATCACGACATAAACAAGGAGTGCCAGTGTATAAATTACTTCCAGTGCAAAAAAGGTTTGTAAACAGCGGGTGATAGTTTTTCCTATATATGATTCCACCAGGTAAAGGACACGTATCGAATATATATATGGTATAACTTACTTCGATGATACAAGGCCAAAACCCGTATTAGAAGAACATCTAAGTCTCATTTAGAACGATTGAGAATAAATGAAGAAACGACTGTAGTACACTCAATAAGGACGAAAGTCGCCCAGTCTAGATAACTATAAGCAATGGCTGAAATCAAGAATATATGCTATGTTCTCACCTGCAAGGATTTCCGACCATTTACTGAAAGTGCCTACCAAATTATTAGCACTAGCCTGTGAGTAATTATCCATATTTCTCACAGCTTACGAGACGTTTCATAAGCATAGATTGTAAAATATAAAATATAGGTACAATTACTTACATTGATTTATTTACAGTGAACATTTTCGCTGTCCAATAAAAGAATTGTAAGAACGTGTTTCTGCCTTTCAATGAGCAAATGTATTAACTGACACGCCACTCCCCAAGCTGCGCCAAATATTCCAATGTACCGGTTCTATAGGAGTTATATGTAAGTATTCGATATTAGACAAAGTGTTTAATCTGGGACCCCTACCGCGAAGAAAATGATGCTGATAAACTTCCGAGGAGAACTCTTTCGGTCGGATAGGAATCAGTATGGTATTCAATATTGAATGGATAACATTCTTTGCTGCCTCACCCAAAAGTATTTCACCTCTTGTTCAAGAGTAATTACTGCAAAGCAACATTTTAGTAACTCATTCGCGAATAAAATGTGCAGAAAGGAAACGTTACAAGTATCATATACGAGGAGCGATAGAATAGCAAATTGGCAGTATATATTGATAACCTTGTTGAAGAAAATGCTGGTAAATGTGCTAGAGTCCACTATAGACATAATTGAAGAGTAGTTGTGTTGAAAGTGTCAGAGAGGTGCGTAGATGTCTAACTGAATGATTCCAGAAGACCTTGGGTCTCGTCTTATACAAATGACATTTGCTTCTGTTGCACAACAAGTTTCGATGTTGCTAGTCATGTCAAGGAAGGTTGAGATTGTCGCTCAAACCCTGGATGGAAGAATGGAATATATTGAATACATCAAACAATGGTGGACAGAGAATAACAGGTGTCCAGAGATGTTTTACGTTACACGCGTGAAGGAAGAAAAGAAAATCAAGGTGAAAATTAAAACTGTTGTAGAATGGGCAAAACTAAGTTCCGAATTAGAGAGGCATCATCTTCGTAATAGTCTTCACAGAGATGAACAAGTTGATCAGGCAACCGACCGTATAAATACCATCTCAAACACGGAGTCACCTTTAAATCTGTCCTAGACATGCACTGCGTGCAATAAGGCTTGACAACGACACCAAGTTGCTTTCTATTCCGGTAGGATGAAACCATCTAATAATAATCTGACACCTTGAGAATCTCAGTTGAGGCGAATCCCTTGAGCCGAAATCTCCACAGTGGCGTTGGAGCATCTGCATGGATACTGTTTCTTGAAATCATCTCCTCCGATGTTTTTTTGTTTCTCGCTGCATGGTTACATGTCGATGAATTTGACAAGACGATGTCAGGACTTGGGGACCGACATTGTGTGGACAGGAGGTTGAACTGCTGGCAACTGTTCCGCTGATTTCGTCAACAGCGAGCTGGTGTCTCAGCAACATTATGAGGTCCAGGACCAGATGTGCGGCATTTCAGCATCAATGCTTAAGCTTGCGGCAATACTTGGAGTAGTTGCACTCGGATATTCATTCTAAATATGAAGCCTTGGGAGTCGGAAACGGCCGGGTAAAATTACATCACGTGTTGTAACGATCGTACACTTGACGAAAACCTGCTCAATGCTCTGCTTCATCCACTCAACCTTCATGCTCATAACTCTCAGCCACATTTATATCGCACTGCTCCACATATGCCCGGAGAACAAGCACCCTAATTTTCCTTTATAAAAGGAGGTAAAAGTGAATGGGACGAGCAGCGAAAGCTAAGATCGAGTGAATAGGTCGATGACGTTTCAACAAACGTGCACCTATGTAAAAGCAGTCAACAATAGGTCGTTATTCAAAATGCCTACGTTCTGGACCTATTGCATCTGATTCGGTTGAATGCCCGCAAGCACAGCAGGGCGCCCATGACGGCGATGGCTTTGATTTCAATGCAAATGATTTGGGGAAACCGCATGACTTGGCGTCACGTGAGCGCTTCACCATCTTTTTCACGCGCGGGCTTCTGTGATCGTCCCTGGGTTCTTTTATTTGATCTGTCCGACACTGAATTGTGTGGCTGAGGGGCTGAGCGCATTCAGCTGAAGACAAGAATAGCCAGGTACAGTGCAGCCGAAATTGTCCTTTACATCACGTCTTTAACGCTTGAACGGCGTATAGCATGCACATATGTCTATGGGACAAGCAAGAATACTCGTCAAAGCGTTTTGCCATAACGCATTAAGCAAACATATAGACATAACCTTATCTGTCCGGCAAATAATGAACAGATCAACTTTGATTACGCGGCAGGTCATCCCCGTTTACCCCGCATATTTCAACCTCTTCGCCAGCACACTTACTCGGTTTCATCGGCAGTTATACGCTTCGACAGCTGCGGCCGTTGACTTTCACCCGATTTCTGCGCCTCTCCGTGGCGCTCTTGCTTTTTGTATGCTGCCTATAAAGACTAAAAGGCGCATGATGCCGTCGTTGCCTGCAGAGCGTACCTCGTCATGTTCTTGCACGCGTGCACGCTCGCTCTTGCACTTCCGCTGTTCGTCGCCGCGGCGCCTCCAACGCCGCAGCCAAACGTAACTACATTGACCACAAACCCGTTAGATGCGAATGGACAGACGTTCGACTATATTGTCGTCGGAGCCGGTTTAACCGGAATGACTGTTGCGTCGCGCCTCTCCGAAGACCCATCAAAGACGGTGCTTCTGATTGAAGCGGGTCTTGACAATCGTACGGACCCGGGTATTTTTGACCTTAACTTGTACCCGTCGCTCTTTGGCACCTCTGTGGATTGGGCATGGCAAACGGATCAGAATAAATCCTTGCAAGGGTGAGTTTACCTTCCGGATAGGATATTATGCCCCCGTTCTCACATTTCTTGTTGTTTAAGGGGTAGGATGCTTGGAGGTTCCTCATCCTTTACGGCGTGTCATTGGCTTCGGGGCATGAAAGATGGGTACGATGCCATCGGATCGCTCATTGACGGAGAGGATTGGAGTTTCGACGCCCTGTTTCCTTATATGAAGAAAGTACGTAAACATTGTTGATCCGCCGTAACACTGCTTTTTTTAATAGCGCCATTAGGCAGAGAAGTTCTTTATCCCGACTCCTGACCAGATCGCACTTGGAGCGGACTACGTCTATGATTACCATGGTTACTCTGGACCTGTCCAGGTGACGTTCCCCCAGCAAATCTATACTGGACCTCAAGAACCCGCATTCGTCAAAGCCATCGAAAATATAACCGGCATCGCCCACTGCCAGGATTTCGAAGGAGGTTTCGATAATTGCGTAGGCTATATGCCGCGCACCTTCGACCCTGCAGCGAACTTCACGAAATCGACTTCCGCTACAGCGTACCTTTCGCCTATCGAAAATCAGCGCCCGAACTGGCGTATCCTCATGGCGCACCAAGTCACGAAAATCTTGTTAACCGGTGACGCACCGCAGGTCAAAGCCACAGGGGTAGAGTTCAAAGATTGGATGAACGTGGGAGATACGTACAAGGCCTACGCGAACCGAGAAGTTATTCTTGCCGCAGGAGCAATTGGTACCCCTCAATTGCTTCAGCTTTCCGGGATTGGCGACTCCAAGATCCTAAGTCCATTGGGCATTGATGTTATAATCGATCTGCCGACTGTCGGAAAACAATTGCAGGAGCGCACAAGAAATGAGCTGGCACGCAATGTGTCAGCATCGTTCAATCCTGGCGGACCTGGTCCTGCGAACACTATGTCTTACCCGTCGCTGAAGGAACTCTTCACTAAGGGCGGTGGATCCAACGGATCAGTCACGGGAGAGGAAGTGGCAGATTACATTACAGCAATGTATCCCATCTGGGCGCAGAAAGAAGCTCATAACGCATTGAACGCAGACGCGTTGACCACAATATTCAAAGTTAATGTTGACTTGATGGTCAATAGCAATAGTAAGGGATCAACGTTGTATCGTATGATGATTGCTGACCAATACTTTTAGTTCCAGCTGCCGAGTTGTTCTTCAATACCCTTACATTGTACGTCTGAATATTTATCCCTAGACATTCTAGCTGACGACCTTTGACAGCGACATAGGGCTCGAAATATGGCAAATGAATCCATTCAGCCGCGGAAACGTCACGATAACGAGCACCGATGCCTTCGTTAGACCTCAAGTTAATATCAACTATTTCGACATCGAAGTCGATCTCGCGATCCAAACAGCAGCGGCACGCCTAGCTCGTCAAATCTTCAAGAGTCCCATTTTCGGCTCTATCTTCGCTGCTGAAGAACTCCCTGGAACGGCCGCTGTGCCTGACGACGATCTCGGCGGCACTGATGCCGACTGGCAAGCGTGGATCCTAGAGAACTACCTTCCCGTTGGTCATTATTTCGGGACTGCACCGATGATGCGTCGGAACTTGGGTGGCGTCGTTGATGGCAAACTATGTGTATACGACACATTAAACCTTCGAATCGTTGACGGAAGTATTATTAGTCTACCGATGACTGCTGCTCCTATGAGCTCGCTCTACGGTATGGCGGAGAAGGCCGCGGATATAATCAAGTCATTAGCATGACGGGACTTTGTATCGTTATTATTTTTCACGCTCTTTACCTATTCGAACTTTTATTGGTTAGTTGTTGGTTTGTATTACATTGGGTTTGAGTACTTCCATAACCAAATGAGCAAAGAGGAGGCGAACTTGCCGTTAATATTGATATTATTTTTAGTCAGGTCATTTCCTGGGGACGGAGCGCTCCAATAATAGACTGTTATAAAAAGAACCTCAGTTGCGGTGTCTCTTGTTCCAGGATATTTGCACAAGGCGTGAAGTTCTACACAGTTACTGTCCTCGGCAAACGCCTCGTGGAGGTCGCTTTGCAGGGAGAACGATTCGCCAAAACAGCTTTGGAATTTCGTATCAGAAAGAAAGTTACAGGCTCGAATGAGTTGCCGATTACCCAGTTCAACCTAAGTACACCAAGCTATTACCACATGTACACTGCAAAGTTCAGCAGCACATATTTAGGCAGTACACACGTCATCGCGAAATTGAGTGGCTATATTCTCTATTAATATCTCTATTAATGTGTACAGTATGCAACGCATTATCTATTCTAGGCGTATCTATCATTGTCCGACAAATCCAAAGGCTTAAAAAATAACATGAAGCCGGAAACACGATTGCTACCTTTAGGGGCAGAATGTCAAAGTGTAGTCAGCGGACAACGAAGACGAGCAGTTGCGGAGCGCAGTGCCACTCCCTTCGTCATAAGCGTAGACGTATGAGTTAGGGCATCCTTGCTCTTAATGCGGAAAAAAATACATAAGTAAACCGAAGGACTGAAAACGGAGAAGACACCCACTGAAGTACGAATAGAACTGGACACCCTTTGAAGGACACGTGGCTGCAGTGTTGTGGCTACCCGAGCAGCAGTTCGCAGAGTCCTCTGTTGCCTTGCTAGGTGAGATGTCATGTCCGCAGGAAAGAGGAGCTCGCAACTCACGTGGATGACCGTCTAAGTTTGCAGCGCATGCGCTAAGGCATCCACCATTTTTCTTGAGCTGAGAAGGACCTGCAGGTATTTTTAGCGGTCGCTTCTAGGAAGGCAAAGCACACTTTGATAGCTGCTTACAATCTGGGGCAAGGTCTTTCGGGCAATCCGAGAGAGGGCATCCCTTGTTGTTCGTAATACTGATCGGAAGGTTGAAGCCATCAACGAGAGAGACTAAATAAATTGTCTTGGACTGGTTCTGTCTGATAGTGATATGATTTCGTACCATCATACCAGTCCAGACCATCACCATTGAGAGTCCATTCCGCCAGAGAAGCAGGTGGCACACCCTAAGTCAAGTGTTCAGTAGCTGCGACCGGAACGGTGCGTTTGATGACATACTGTACCAGTACTCGCATCACACTCAAGTCCGCCATTGCAACCACCGGCCGGGCATGAATTGGGTCCAGGGTTCTTGCTAAAGTCACAATCCTTACGGCCCTGAAAGAAGGATGAGTTCAGATATAGTAAGCGAAAAAAATTCGAACTAATCTAACCCAAATGCGTCCCGACTTCCAACCATCGGGAACGTTGAAGCTCACTTCTGAGCCCGCCTTGGCTTCCCACCTACGTCAATGGTAACCTAAGTCGGTCGTGTAAAAAGGTTGGAAGTTATGATCGTACCCTGTCGGATGGTCTGGCTTGACGGGAGAGCTCTTGTCAGTGTAGATCTTTCATAACGACCGTTAGTACCGTATTTTCATCCTGGCCTTTGAAACGAATCAAGCATACCGCTGGCCTTCATAAGACCAGTTAATCACTGACACGAATACTAAAAGGAAAAAAAAATTGCTCACCAGACTGTGTAACTACATTTATTCTTCACGGTAAACGTTCGAGCTTGAGTACTTGCCGCTACAGCCAACGCCGTGAGGTAAAGTATTGCAGAATTAACGGGAGCCATAGTATCACTACGCCTTCAAGCGTTTCTTCCTCTTAGATTTATACTACCATCGGTCGACATTGCACACTAGTAATACCATGCTTTCTAGAGTGCCAGCGACAAGAATAACCAGATAGCTTTCTATCTATAAGAGTGAAACACTGCTAGAGACTATCGAAAGCGTAGTAACGCTCGCCGCCTTAGGGTGTCGCAACTATAACAAAGGAAACAAAGTCGTCAAACTAAGCTCAACTGCCAGTGCAATGGATATATCTCTCACGAACGTCGGCACGAGGGGCTGGCCCGTTATACTCGCATGAACTAAAGCAATAGCATTCTGAATTTGGAGTTATAAAGCAGTTTTGCGGAAATGGCACATAATAAGGCAACGTTCTGAATTAAGTCAGAGAAGCAAAATTTTCAGAGTTGACTCCATAAGGGAGCAAAAATAGCCTATTACTTGCCTTATATCTCAGTCCCGATTCTTAAAGTAGCCGGGCCCAGGAACATGAGAGGTGGCGCCAACAGCAGAGGAAACGCAAAGCCCTCCGACATCATCTGAGCTAAATCTGCGTGGCAATAACACAGCAATATTGTTGAGGGGCGCCATTTGGATTCATGTATAAGTCCGGAGTCTGGATTGCGCGATTCCGTGAGACGGCGGCCGCAAAGGCACGGACACACGCTGGGATACCAGACGTTGCAGACACATGTACGTCGGTCCGAACTCGGCACATTCACTGAGCATCCCGCCGCGCAAGGCTATGCACATATCACTTTCTGTCGCCGTTCGCTTAGAGAATCACCACTTCGAGTCGTGCCACTCATCTTTGTGAATCTTCTATATGTAGCAATGTATGTCTTGGCTCTTGTGACACACCATTTAGATGCGGCATTTTCCTATGACAGCGTAAAGTTCCACTGAAGCTGTTCGTCGTGGACGCTAGGTGACAGTACACATTTGCACGTGCACTTAGGCAATACTCTACTGGATCGGATAATTCCGGATGCTGACGACATCGTTGTCTTTGTAATATTTCCCGCGATGATCCAATAGAAGAACCGACTGCATATAAGTACTACATTCTAACCTAGACACAGGTTGTATGAACTTATATCTTATTGAGTGTCTCAGTCTCTAACCGGTTTCTTGGTAGGCCTTAAAAAGTAGAGTACTTCGACGGCCGATAAGACGGGCAATGTTCACGCTATAGTGATTGGATTACACTCGTGATGGAGGGTGATATGGATTAACCATTTCGCATGAAGTCATAGAAAGTGCACGTTGTAAGTTGAAGGATAGGCCAAGTAAATTAATCTGGCATCCCTCTTAGTACTGCCAAGGACTTAATCGTAGACCGGTATTCGGCGTTCATGGTCAAGTCACTATACCAAAGCCGAAACGTATCGTTGAAGGGTTGACGGAGAAAACCAGAAGTCCGTCCTATCAGTGACCGCTGGGCTTACCGAATTGAAATTATCTCTTACACCACAAGTCCCGGTTTTTAATAATACAGACACATATCAAGTCACTCTCCTCTGCTCCAAGCAATACTTTCCAGCATCCACTGCAGGTTTTGTTCAGATAAAATGTCTGTCCCTCGAGTCGCAATTGTAACTGGAGCTGCTGGAGACCTCGGAAAGTACATTTCTCTCCGTCTTGCGGATGATGGCCTCGATATCGCCTGCAATGACCTTCCCGAACAGAGTGTCATTCTGCAGGACTTGGTCTACGAAATTAAGAACAAAGGACGCAGGGCGATCTCGGTTCCCACGGATGTGTCCATTGAGGCTGATGTAAAAACGATGGTGGAGACAACTGTCAAAGAGTTGGGCTCTGTCGATATAGTAAGTGTTATTTCATGGTATTTTTTCGTGTACTGAGGGTGACTAGATGATCTGTAACTTAAGGCGCTGCCTATTGATGATAGTGCATTGGTTCGAGTCCGCATAAGCATGGATCAGTACTAATAAAACCTTTTCCAGTGGATGAACAAATCTGGGACAAGATTTTCTCTGTGAATGTTAAGGGTACAATGTTTTGTTAGAAATGGGCCGCCAAACAAATGATAACGCAAGGGACTGGTGGAAAGCTTATAGGAGGATGCTCAGTCGCAGGATTGACAGGGTGGCAGCTCTAACTGCTCTTCTTCACAAGTTCGAACTGATTATGATTAGGTGCACCTCTGTGCTCTGCATATTGTGCAAGCAAATTCGCTGTTCGTGGTCTAACACAGACTGCAGGTACGTGGCAAGTTATGGCTTTTTGATACCAGTTTGTTTATACCCTCTTGCCCAGCAATGGAATATGCGAGATTCGGAATTACCGCAAATGCTTATGCGCCAGGATTACTGTAATTGGAGGCACAAAGATGTGTAAGCTTTAGCCCGTTATATACCTTTTCGCAAATAAAGTGACTGAATTTACCAGCAGAATAATCTCGCTCAAAGTGCGGATAACGCTCTTGGCCTTCCTTCCGGTGGATTTGAAGCACATGTAAGTATTCGCCAAGTAGACATGATCGCAAGTGATAATGGGGGAATTCTAGTCACTGGCAAATGTGATAAAAATGGGGAAACTTGGCCGACCAGAGGACATCGCAGGGTTGGTATCTTTCCTCTCATCCAAGGACTCTGGCTATGTCACCGGTAAGTTCTTCCTTGATTTGCTCAGACAATGAAGCCAATTGCAATCTGCCAATTTTAGGTCAAACGCATTCTTGCGACGGTGGAATGCACATCGCTTAACACTAATGCGAAATGACCATGACACGGCGTATCATGTGGATCATCAAGATGCCCTATGTCATCAAATGAGCTTGTAAGTGTAAGACGGAAGATCAAAGTAGGGATAAAATTTGCCTATAAACTTGAAGAAGACCGGGCACGCTAGCGCTCTTGCATGTACGCACGTGTAATTAAACATAAGATCACAACAGATTTCTCCATCTGGGTTCCCGTTTCGTACCGCATAAATCGCTGTAATTATTTACAAATGGAAGGTCTGCTTCATAAGTAAACACCAGCAATCGCCGAAGAAAATAGCCGCTATGACATTCTGATATTGACGCACGTTAAATATTTAGAACGACACACGAAGTCCAAGCGTTAAGTACGGCTGCAGGTAAGATACGCGTCTGATAAACTCAACAAGCCAGTCACGTCACGGTCACAACCCTCGCTTACCAAATTAGGGAGGACCCTTACGGCGAAATTTCAGAGTGTAACTTCGACTTGAAGTTTTGCCTCAGCCAAAGATGATTCTATATAATACAGAGAAGAGAATCTTGCCTACTTTCAGATAGAGTTAAATATTACAACAATAAAATATTTGACCATTACAGTCTGTATCTATAATTTTGTAGCTTTATCAAGATGATTACACCATCCGATCATTATGACAAATACTATATATTATAAATGATATTATGTAATATACATATATAGCAATTATTTGTCATATATCCTTATCTAATGGTGGCGAAATCTGAAGGAAAAAAATTAAAAAATTTACCAGACTGCTGGAAAAGTATAATTACAGCATTTAGAGCAAAAAACATAGTTTGCAAAACAACTCAGCCAATATTCACTTTTAAGAAATTCTGTTCCATCATTTTGTAGAGAAGGCTTAATACAACAAATCGATGGTGCTACTTTTTGAGTTTTGGGTCTCTGGATGGACGAGTTTCGTGCTCATTGTGGAGGCTGCATTAGGAAGGTAAGGTTACATCACGTGAGTCACACAACTTGTCGAGTTTATCAGACGCGTATCTTAAATCATCCGGTACTCTGTTAAGCATCAATGACGTCACGTTAAACTATGCTCGCTTTCGGGACTAGTGCCGTATGCCGTCCGTTTAGCGCAGCTTAGCGTCTCACTAGTCTGCTTTCGTAAAATAAAATAAATTCAAGAGCGGCTCGAACTCGAAAACTAGCTTACCATTTAGGGGTGCAAAGTGAAATTGACCCTGTCGCTCGTAATGATCAGAAAATTTGACGTGATATTCGATTAACCAACTCATCAGGAGCAGTTAACTCCGTAAATCGGCGAGATCCAAGATAGGACCGGCGGCACCATAAGCTTATCAGTGGCTAACGCCGTGAAGACGCTCAGTACTAGTATGATCGTGGTGAAACTCATGTGGATGACGGGATGTGCCCAAGGCCGTTCATGACGAGCACCAAATGTGATCTGTCTCTGCATCATGCAAAATTGGGTTACGTTGACGAAGAAAATGCTGCATGCATGTTTTATACCGTCTTGACACGTATTGCCACATTGATTTATATACTCACAGACTCCTGTCCGAACGGAGAGAGCCATGCTGGACATCTTTCTGGACTGAGTGTACTCAATGAGATCATCTATATTTTCGGTTGGAGTGCGGTGTAAATACCAAGTGCCTTGGCAGATGTTCTTCTGAGCTGAGACCACACCTTGGTTTCTCTTTAATGACCTGGTCTTCGTTACACACGGTGTCACGGAACTTATTTCAGTAACCTTCGCTACTAGAAGATTGGAATTATTTGGGGCATTATGCATCATTAGATACTCATAGAGCTATAATTACCCGTTCCGCAGGTGTAATTGAATGGTGAAAGACCACTGTGTCATAGATGCTGATAGACACTGCCGGCATTTGGAAGTTGTGCTATGTCTCGTTTCGTATTTCTTCGTACCACTACTGCGGCGCAGGGTGCTCGTCTCCTTTGCTTGGGGTTCCGAACCACATTAAACTCGCAAGTGATCAAAAGAGCCCATAAAGGCCGGATGAAAAGCCGGTCAGTTACAAATAGTCCTTGACAATATCGATTTGTATTCGGCGTTTGCCGGAAATTGTAACCCATGTCAAAGCACTGTGCTTCTTTACATATGCTCCCGTCGTAATCGTTTCTATCGCCTTACATTCCGCGGCGCTGCATCAACTCTGTGATGGGAACAGTGCAAATCTGTTGTCGACAAAGTAACATTGGCATCCGAGAGAGCCGACGTGTACCATCGCATCGGTAAAAGAACTATCACGGTTCTGTGATTGCAAATTTTCGATTGCACTGGCACATGCACAGGCAGACTGCGGAAGGCCCGGCACGCCATTTTGTCTTATACCACTTATGCTATGTCTTCCGTACAAGCGAACTCGGCAGAGAGGACTAAATGGGGCTCGGGGCTCCGATAAGTTCAGCTTTCAAGCGGCAGCAAGTTCTCGGTGACATGGAAAGATTTCTATGCGGTGAAGCTTCGCGCTCCGGTTCCCATCATCTTCAGAACTTTGCTATTCATTGTAACTATAAATGGCTTGGTAGAGTGAGAAGATTTCCACCTGAGGTTCATATTCGTTCATGGCTGTATGGTTCTCTACCGCGTGATCAGTTCTCATATCCTCCTGAAGCATTTGATCGCTGATTCATAAGAGACGACACGTACCGGGCGCTCACGACACAGCTCTCACAGATGTCGTCTTCACTCAGTGGAAGCCAGCTTGCTGAAGCTGCTTTGCATCTGTAGGTCGCCAAAAACTCATCTTGAAGCGTCAATTACTTATGTCTTCTCAGTCAGGCAACCAAATATTATGCAATTGCTTCCTTCGGTTCGTCTGGCAGGGATGGTACTTGTAACCCTGATTTGCGTCTAACTCGCTTGCGGAAAACCTAGCCATGCTTGTTTATGACATCTTCCTAACGTTCTCGACCGAAGTCGAAAAAATCTGGAAACGGAGATTCACGGCAGTGACAGTATTATGGGTAATGGTACGCATGATTTTATCAATGTTCATTGCGGCTGGAATGACATCCTCGCAGATCCGATGGATCTATCTGGCAGGAATTATTGTCATATACGTCTGTAAGTCTATTCAATGCGAGTACCGAAAGGACTTCATTGAGGAATCATTGAAGCATATTTTGACCCGGACTGGACAAGCACTGTGAGTTTATCCCGTAGATTCATATGTAGCATGAGATGCTAATATTCTAGTGCAGGCGTCAGTAATATCGTTTCGTTCTGCGAGTTTTGATGCTAATCTCGAGTAGCTGTGCGAAATATGTTAAGTTCCCTGGCTACCTCCTTATTTACCAGAGGATCGTGACCGGAAGTAAGTCGAGCAAATTTCATGGTGCGCAGTAACTGACAGTGTGTGGCAAAGTGATATTCATACTTCGAACATACTGCCTGTACCAGCGAAGCTGGGTAGCCGTTGGCATTATCAGTATATTTCTGGCCGCCGAGATTACAGTAAAATTTGTGAGTTGGTCGAGGTCGTCGCAAGATCTGAGACTTGCTCATGTCCGCACCCCCAGGTGACGCTTGAGAAGTGGGCAGCGATGGTCCACTTGCCTCCTCAGTTATCAGGATGTTTCCTAGCTGTTGCGCCAGAAAAGTCAGTAGATACATTACAACCTCGTCTCTTACTGTCGAATGCTTACAAGTGTATTCAGCGCGTCGAAATACGTTTGGCACTGGATCACGGAACTATTCACTGGTTCGTTATCGTCTTTTAAGGCTGATCATCGAGTATTATTGACCGCAATCACAATGACCGCAATTAGATGCAGTGATTATGCTTCTGACTGCATATCGGTCGTACAGGGTGTACACCGAGTCCATCGCAATTACTCGAACACCACTATGGATCACGTTCCTGAGAGATGGTATGTAGATTCTTGCATGCCTTCTACATGGTAATGACAATAAGTTGCAGGATTCCTATATTTCTTTGTCATGTTCTCAGCGAACGTGTGTACAGTAACTTTATACCTCGTAAGTTCTTTCGTGTGCCATGCACTAGTTGAACGCAATTAATGGGTTGTTTAGATCCTCCCGGTATGTCATAGGACGTTTTTATGTCCATCATTTGCCTGATTTGCCCATCTCCCTTATAGCAAGATTTGAAGGACATCAATGCTACATTCACCGCGCTGTAAGTGCTTACCTGCTATGATATTTCGTCGAATGGCTGACAGCTGACGGTGACTACTAGAATTAGCTGCGTTTTGATTACGAGACTCGTTCTGAACCTTAAGATCGTAGCATCGCAACAAGGATCATCGATGAAAGGGAGATCCTTCACGTCGGAGCTCGAGGCCGTTTCCGTGTGGGAATCCAATATTCTAGGCGACATAGGTAACGATATCGAGGTCTCACAGACATCCAGAGCGATAGGCGCAGAGAGAGACCGCGATGGTGTCTCGATCGAGCTCATGCATCTCTCACCAGCACACAGTCCTGCCCCGTACGCGACTAGATTCCCGAGGCATTGAGAATTGAGGTTGACATTCTCTGCTTGCGACGGATTTCCTTGTTCACGACTTTATCAAGCCTTTTATCATTCTTTATTATACGCTATTTAAAATTATTGTAAACATAGAACATGCATGTAGAGTATCTAGGCACGGGTTCTTGGAGATTGGTAAATATGTACGAACGTGAAGTATGCCGGAAATTTTATTTTTGCATTTTCTCCTCGGAGTCGCCAAAAACCCGCTCGTGACCCATATGGATCAGTGGCTGTGCACTGAAACACAGAAAAGTATGGCATATGCCATGCTTTTCTGTTAGTTGGTTTTACATAGGCAAGAAGCAACATGGCCCCTGTACATTCCGTATGGACGTCCTATTTCTAATCTTATCCAGACCGTCTCTGCTTTCGTCCGAGGCCAACCTCCCATATAATTTGCTCAGTACAGGTCTACATGTCTCATCATGCCGTGAGAACGGACTTTGGCAGCGAAAGACACTTCGCCATCTTCTATCACTGTCGTCGACCATTCTATGTCAAAGCGGCTTATACGCGATGTCGGACAGCTATCTGTACTCGCACAGACGTAATTACCTCGATTCAGTCATTGCAATCAACGAAGATGGTCCTGGTATTCATGAGCTAGAAGGTTGGCTTATACCTTCCGCCAATCAATTCTCCTTCCGCCGATGCGGTGTCGCCTTACCTCCTGATACGAAACTGATACGTGAACTTTGAAGAGAATTTCGTCAGTTCAAAGAGGACCCCAGAAATCTGTAAGTTCATAGTTTCCGATCCCATCAGAAGGTACCTTCACTTCAGTTTGCTTGGACATAAGAGCGCATCAGTTATTTGCTTTCCGGTCGGACAACGGCGACATTAAATGGTGCCGATAGATAATTATCCGAGGTAGGATTGCCTCATAAGAAGCATACATGCGATTGCGCAGGAGTGAAGAGTCTCTAGTCAGCTTTCCGGGTTCCGACCTTTCTCTTGTCTGAGTAAATCTTCGTTTCTCATCCAACATGGCCTCGGCAAGTATCCGTCCGTATTTGGAGCTTATGCGAGTCCATAAGGTGAGAGAAGGGTCTCGTAATTTGCCTTGTGGAAAGGCTTCACTCATTCCGCGATCAACTGAAGCCCGCAGGATGGCTGTTCTTCTTATGGCCATTCGGTATGAGATCGTTCCCGTAGTGACACGAATGGTCATGCCTAATTGTGTTCTGCCCATCGAAAGCATGGGGGTTAACAATGGCCGCCTACAGTACACGACTTGCTTACCAGGATTATGCCGTTCTCTTGGCGAAAAGCCTCTTTGGGTCCTTCATCATGAGAACGTCAGCATGCACAGTCAATGATATTTTTGACCGCGACTTCGATGCATCTGTTGGTACGTAGCAATAATGCCGAACCCGAATCCTGTCTTTACAACTGAAATGCCCTTCTTTCGAAGAACGATGCAAGAGTCGACCGCTTCCTTCCGGCAGAATATCCGTTTCCGCCGCCTGGGTCTTTTTCTTTCTACAGGTAGCAGTTGGATTATGGTTTTTCGCGGGTTACACAGATCAGGCGTGCGTATCATCCAATATGCTTGACGACGACCAATTGACTTTCTACTAGATTTGTGGCTTCCGTTGTCCAAATGCTGCCACTGTAAGTTGAATTGCTTTGTTATACAGTTCCCCCGGAAATTTACTCGTGCAGATTGTGCATCTATCCACTTATGAAGAGGATTACCTATTGGCCTCAGGCATGGCTTGGTATAGCCATTAACTTTGGCTTTATTGTGTCATGGCTTTCGGTTAAAGGAGCTGGGTCACCAACATCACCTGTCAATACCTACATGCTAATCGGATTATGGTGGTGAGAATGGCTGCATCCTAAAAACGTGTCCTTTTGATTGCTTTCATTGATGCTTCAATTCGCGTATCTTAGCTGGTCTATGGTATACGGTATGCCTCTCCTCTGATGTGATGTTCATTTAATTGACCCTGACGTGTTATCTTAGACACAATCTATGGTTGCCAGGACCGCAAAGACGACTTAAAGGCTGGCGTGTGGTCAACAGCAGTCCTATTCGGAAGATTTGTTCTACCTGCCGTTGTCCTCTTCGCCGTCGGATTCGTTGTGGCACTTTTGGCCGCGGGTTTAGCTAATAACCAGGGTCCTCCGTTCTTTGCGGGTGTCCTCGGAGCGGCAACTTATCTCGCATGGCAACTTTACATCGTGGATGTTGATTCCCCACCAAGCTGCTGGAGTAAGGGCTTTACTCTGTCAAATTTACGTGTAAAAATATGGAAGCTGATTGTTCTGTGCCTTGCATACAGAATTCTTCATGCATCATGCATACTACATTGGCACAGTGATCTACGCAGGAATGGTGCTTGATTATGTGTATGCCATGGAGAAGCCGGTCCGTGTGTTCTAAGAATATCAGCTTGGAGCATTTGAGAGTCTGCTGTATAAATTGTGTACATAGCAATAAACTTCCAGGATATTAATGCTTAAATTTACATATTTGTGCAGAAAATGTAAAAGCAAGAGACAACTTTGCCCGCTGGAATAAGTACAAGTAATGATTGATATGGCAAAATAAATTAAAAAAAACCAATTGGAAAAAAGTCACTGGGAAATCTTCATCCACATCTCCTCTATCTTGGCAGCATGTTTCGGGGTGCGGGGTGTGACCTCGATGAGGAGACTTTCCGGCTTGCTGTGTAACGTGAAATGCGATTACCGAAAGTGACAATATGTAATGAGTAAGTGACTTACGTCGTTATTCCAGGCGTGAATTCATTTGGATTGAGCTCGACAGGATTTCCGGAATCATCTCTTGCCGGAGCGATGTCGAACGCCCACATGAGCCGCACGATGCCTATCCAAACGGATCTCGAGGCGAGATATTTGCCAGGACAAGCGCTGCAGATCAGAATGTTAAGCCGAGTTTCCTCAACAGTGGAATGTTAACTGAATACCGACCGGCGCCCGAACCCAAATACATAATGTCCCTCTGTCAACCACGCAGTTGTCACTTCCATGTCTTCCCGCAGGTACCGCTCAGGCATAAATCGCTCGTGTTCAGGAAACTCTTCCTCATTGTGATGGATAGCAAACGTATTAGGGATGACCATCGTCTTCGCTTTGATCCTATACCCTTTGTATTCATCTTCGGCAAGGGACAAGTGTGGAAAAGCACCGGGTGCTGCAGGGCGCCAACTAAAAGCCGCTATATGTTAATTTACCTCAGTTGAGAGGTAAAAATAGATTTACGGACCGGAAGACCTCTTTGCACAATGCTCCGCAATATGGCAACTCTTTGAAATTGGTGAAATTAGGCATTATTACTCCGTCAGCGCCAACAACAGAGTCGATTTCCTGCTGGGCCTTCTTAAGAGCGTCAGGATTAAGCGCCATGGCCATCATGAACCACTGCATGGTTGCAGAAGTCGAGTCTGTTCCTGCGTCGAAAGCCACTCCGCAAACTATCGATTGTTAATAGGAGCTTAAACCTCGAGCGGCGTTTAAATGACCTACCGTAGGACATGGTGACAAGATCAAGCTCTAGCTTTTCCTTCTCTTCCCACAGCCTCGAAGCAAAGCAGTCGAATTGCAGATGCCCCTTCTTCTCCATGTTCGTTTTAGCCTGCAGGACAAGCCTTGAGAAAACCTGGTGTTATTGGTAAATACCATTATTCACTCTCCTATGAAAATGATTGAATGCACCTCAATTTCATATTGGTGCTTCGCTTTCGCTTCCTTTCTCCACGGCGAGAGGAAGTCGGGGAGCTTGTCAAGGATGGGGATGGAATCGACCAAGTGAGACCCGGGATAAGCATCCTGAATGAAGTTGTCCAGAATCTCGGAAACGTCCTTGAGGTCCTTGTCATCGTTCGGCATCCGTCGGCCATAAGACAGGCTAAACACTAGGGAGGCTGCATAACGTTTTGTGTTAAGGTCCGCTTCTTTCGGGCGCCTGAGCATGTCACTCAGCAAACGGATAGACTCGAGCTCTTGCATACTCTCGTAGGATCCGACGACTAAAGGGGATTTGACGTTTAGGTCTCAGCTATACTTGTATCCTGAGGATTTACACTACCTCGAGGCTGCAGCATGCTATGAAAAGCGGTTCGCAATTTCTTCATTTCATCGCCGTACGGTGTCAAGACGAGTCGCTTTCCGCCCGACAAATATTTTCCAGCATAAATAGGCTGTGAACGAGACGAATAATTTGCGGAGCGCTTATTGAGCTGTTTAATACAGAAGCCGTGTCATTCAATACCGACAGTAAATCAAAAAAGAGGGTCCTATAAATACTCACTAGCTCGTCGGCGTCCTTTGAAGTACTTAATGCAATAATGTCATTTCCCGCCAATGAGACCCTAACAATTGGACCGTAGGTCTTGCTGATCTCGAGAAAGTACTGCCACATGAGCGTCCTTGGTACTTGAAATATGTTTCCGACAAGGAAATGGCCTTTGGGACCGGGAGGATATCTGTAACTATTTTGAAACAAGTACAGCACGAGCGAGAGCAGAACGGCGGAGAACACCAGAGGAGCAGTAAGAGTATCCATGGTTGTGGTTGGTACTTGGATGAACGGTCGAGATGGGCTGTCCGACATTGAGCTCGTGTTGGAAGAGCAGATGGGTCGGTTACTTTCGGAGAATCGCTCGATCGCCTAAAGCAAACTGCCCTAGAAGTTTTGATGGCTCTTACGATGAGAGTCCTCAGCAGATGCTTCTGTTTGTATCATTAGGTTTAGCTTCTCAATCAAGAAGACGGGAGTACTGCGCGGGGATGTAAAACACGTCCGGGGTCCTTCATCATATTGCTGAGATGTGTTCGGAAAAAATATACTTCATCTTCTTATCAACTCTAAAGTGATAGAAGTGTGAGTTTGATGTGCCGCGTGGTGCGGTGCAGCACAGAACAAGGCAAATATGTACCACGTGTTCATATCCACTGTATTTAGAAGTCCTACCGTGGGAATCTACCGATGTTCACGTTTGACTCTCATCTTTTTGCATGTCATCTCGACTGGACTGAGGTCGCATCCGAGGCGAACATCGATGCTTTTCTCACAGCTGTCTCACCCTTGCGTACCGCAGGAATGGCCCATCCTAAACTCCATTTGCAAATTTGCCTGGGTCTCGACCTGTCAGTAATTGCGTTAAGAAATTTGCTGAGTCCACAGGTATGATATTTTTCACCGTAAACCTCGGACGTCTGACACATTCGAGACTAGAATAAATTATCACTGCCCTGTCAGTGGTTCAGGTTAGCACAGTTGGAGAATCCTTCTATAACCCGGTGAAACCATACTGGTAGCCGGGGTACCGTCCACGATCTACTATCGCATATCGGGATCATCATGTTTATCTTTTGATGTTCTTGAGTACTGAAATTTTTCGCATCACGACTATATGCGTAGCCGTACCGCTATTTTTCAGTATGGCCGGTGGGGTGTACATCACAATTTGCTTCCTGATGTGTGTTCTTCTCATTCGGCTTCTGCGGTACATTCACGCGATCGCATCGCTCGTCTAGACACCGAAGCTGTACCTTCGTAAATCGTATCAAGTCAAGGATCCAATCTCATGATGGCTGTTCGAAAGTCGCAGGTACGTCTCACACAGCACGTGCGTCGCGTCTAAAGTGAAGAAGAACCTTGGTCGCGGAACTCTGTAGCGCTGCATGTTCACAATGTTCGCGGTCCCGCCGGTTGGATCTCTGACTCTACCTGCTCTGTACGAATGGCACTATCACAACTCGCCAGATCATCCGCTCTTCGTCTTCAAGGATGGCTCGGAGCTCAGGACAATATGTTGGAAGGAGGGTATCCAAGGCATGCATAGAGCGTCAAAATGGGTCGTGGACTCTGTGGGCAATAGAGCCTCAAAGCAACGTCCGGTTATTGGCGTCCTCACTTCGTCAGATACGCTCACTTATTTCTGTTTCATTGTCGGTGTGATGCGCCTGGGATGGGCCGTGTTTCCTATGTCCCCGAGGAACAGCCCGCCCGTCATTGCATCTCTCCTCAGACAAGTCAATGCAACTCATGTATTCATGTCGAAAGATGAGGTTATCCAAAACGTCGTAGATGCATCCTTGGGTCAGTTGCCTAAGGACCATCAGGTGGAGACGCGCGAGATGCCTTCATTCCACGACCTCTTTCCTCAGCGAGGCCCGGATACCCAGTTCGTCTTCAATGCCATGCAGGAACTGGATATGCAGCTGCCTGCGCTTATCTTGCATTCGTCCGGGACAACTTCGTTACCGAAGGCAGTCATATGGTCTCAGTGGGCTCTCGCTAAGGGTGCATCCGTTCCAATGCAGGGTGACCTCTCCTTGACTGGGATGGTTGTCGCGATTCATGTTATCCCTATGTTCCACGCCATGGGTGCGATTCAGCTTATGGGGGCACCATCTCGCGGTGTTGTCATGTCGATGTTCACGCCGCAATGTCCCGCCATAGTTCCAGATCCTGGAAACGTCCTTAGTACGGCATTGGAAACCAAAAGTGACTTTATCTTATGCGTACCTACTTTCCTTGAGGTGCGTCGCGTTCATTCGCTTGGCTAGAGTTGATAACAAACGGCTTTGCAGATTTGGGCGCGGGATCCCCGAATTGTTGATGAATTGGTCAAATTAAAAGGGTTGGTACGTATCAACGTCTACCGTCACGACAAAATAGTACGACTGACTTTACGCGACGCAGATCTGGGGTGGTGCAACTCTTGCTAAATCCGCGGGTGATCTTCTGATATCCAAGGGCGTTAAACTCCACATCGTTTATGGTTCGACCGAAGCGGGCCTGCTGAGCAGGTACTTGTCAAACCTTCCGGGAAAGGAGTGGGAGTACTTTTGCTTCACACCGAACCGCGATGTACGATTTTTCCCGGACAGTGAAGGAATTTGTGAAGCGATCGCGGTCTCTAACTCTGAATACATGCCATGTATTGTGAATACCACATTTGAGGGAAGGGATGCTTACATCCTAAGTGACCTCTTTGTCCGACATCCCACGAAGGACTATCTTTGGAAGGTTCTTGGCCGGACCGACGACCAGATTGTGCTTTCAACTGGAGAGAAAGCAAACCCTATCCCTCTCGAAGCTGTACTTGCCACGGACCCACATATCCAAGCCTCTATTTTCGTCGGTCAGGGCCGCTTCCATCTCGGCGTGATCGTCGAGCCCAAGCCAGCCTACCAATTCGATCCGTCCAATACGGACAAGCTCGCCGAGTTCCGGACACTCATTTGGCCCTCCATTGAGCGAGCAAACGAGATTGCTCCATCTTACGCTCGGATATACAAGGAGATGGTTCTTGTCACTTCTCCCGGCAAACCATTCACCTATACAGTAAAGGGAATTGTTCGAAGACAAGAAGCTACTACCAACTATAAAGAGGAGATAGATGCTATGTACCGGGCGGCGGAGGAAAGTTCCCAGGCTGAAATCGGTGCTCCCAACGATTGGGCCTTCAAGTCTGTGCTTGAGTTCGTCCGTCGTGTCGTCAATGCAACACTCAAGCAGCCGATCGCTGATGACATTGACATGTTCACGCACGGTTGTGATAGTCTGAATGCAACGTGGATTAGAAACTCGTTGCTAAGAGTTTTACGGAAAGAGCATTCGCAGATTGCTAGAGACTTACCGACGAACTTCGTTTATACCCACCCATCTATCACTTCGCTTGCCAAGTTTGTGACCGAGATTGTCTCATCGGGCTTCTCTGGAGATTCCTCAGCCAGCAACTTGGAGGGTCACGAAGAGCGGCTGCAGCAAATTGTCGACAAATATACGGGTGATTTGCCGCCTAACTCGGTTGCTGATACTGACAGTGCTTCACAAGGAAAGGACACTGTAGTCCTTACAGGTAGCACAGGTGCATTCGGTTGTATTATCCTTGCTCGTCTTCTGGCATCGAACGACATAGAACATGTCTATGCACTGGGACGAAAACCCTCTGCGCAGGGTGGCGAGCCGTCGTCGTTGCTGCGAAGACACGTCCGAGCATTTCAAGCTGCGGGTCTGGACACCAACCTCTTGAAGTCTGAAAAACTTTCTTTCCTCGAATCGAACCTGACCGCTTCCGACTTTGAGATCGATGCCAGCCTCTTGCAGACTATTCGTTCGTCAGTCACACATATCATTCATGGCGCTTGGACGGTAGACTTTAACTTATCTTTGGAGTCTTTCGAGCCGCACTTCATTGGGCTAAGGAATCTCGTTAACTTGGCTCTGTCTTGTTCCGGACAGTCTCGACGTGTTCCCAGGCTGGTTTTCATCAGTTCTGTTGGGTCTGTACGCTCCGCTCCATCCCCTGTACGCGAGCATTTCTTTGCGTCACCGTCATTTGCGCTCGGATCAGGATACACCGAATCAAAGTGGACTGCTGAACGGATCCTTGAAATCGTATCTGAACGCACTCGCCTTCAGTCAATCGTTGTGCGCTTCGGACAGCTTACTGGTGGACCAAGCGGCGCATGGAAGGAGGATGAGTGGTTCCCTGGCCTTGTTAAGTCGAGCATCGCGCTTGGCTGTCTGCCAGATTCAAATGGATCAGTATCTTGGATCACGTCCTCAGACGCTGCAGCCACACTACTTGAACTCAGAAAGGCAGACACCAGCCGGGTATTCCACGTCGCCCATCCACATCCTATTAAATGGTCCAAACTCGTCTCGGACCTCTCACGTATTCTCAAAGTCCCGGTTGTTCCTTATACGACATGGTTAGGCAAGCTGGAAGAGGCTCACCAGCGACTTTTTTCTGGGACTGGAGGACCTGAGATGGTCAGGGACCTGTTACGAGAGAATCCAGCTTTACGTATCATCGACGTATTCCGAGGCTATGCTTCACAGGTAGACGACCCGACACGAGAACCCCTTGGCACGCCTTTATTGTCATGCGATGCCGCCATGTCAGTTGCATCCGCATTGCAAAGTACGGCGAATAGTCAGCTCGGGCAAACCGATGTAGAGAAATGGTTGAGCTATTGGTCCTCAACTGGATTCTTGAGAAGTAGAAACGCTTAGACCGCGCATGAGTGTAAATAGTCTTGTAAGTAAAGCTCAGAGCCGTGTTTTTGTTCTGTAAAGTAAAATGTGCCCAAGTCGCGGATGCAACGATAAACGCATTAATATTCTCATGAAACAAACGTTCAGCGTAAATGTTTTAGAAAGCTTGGTTTTAGTCTAGCGCTTGCGTTTCTGGCGACATTCGCACGAAGTTTATTTTTGAAGTCCAATTAGCCCGTAACTCCAAGTAAACTGAACTACTGTTAACTGATAGGATTCATTCAATCGTTGTGCCCAACCAACGAATGTCGCGAATGCCACTCAGAAAGAGTTATTTGTTTGTCAATATACTTAAAGTTTATATTATTAGGTAATCTATTTGCTGAGTATGACTACCAATTTGGGTGTTCTAATTTGTAAATCTCTGTGTTTGTCGAACTTTGTTTCTGGACGCATCCTGTTGCAAAGTCGCTCTACTATACCATGATCCCTCTTTGCCAATTTTTTATTCCTCCACAACCACTTAATATTTTGACTTGAAAATTTGCATATATGTATATCAGAGCATAATAAAGCAATTTATCTTTTCAAAATAATTTTTACGATTTTTTATGAGCTGTAGAGGGATGCGATCCCTCTTTGCCAATTTTGTCACATTCTGTCACAGAAATTTGGCTCTGGCAAGACGCAGCACAAGCTCTGGGAATCTGTCACTTTTGTCACTCTCAAAACAATCTTTACTCAATTTTAATTTACAACCACCATTAAATCTCTCAAGAAAAAATAATATAAGTACTTGTGTATAAATTATATACATGTGTAGTAATATCAACTTATTAACTTGATTAGAAAAATTAAAACTGCTAATTATAAGGGTTGCAACCAGTGGAAATAGCAGTATTCACAGGTTTTTAATTCCTCTATCAAATTTTTTGTAGAAAAAAAGAGATATTGTGTTTTAAATAGTAAAAATACACTCCCATGAATTTTTGTAGAGTATGAGGTGTTGTGTTTTGTGTGTAAATGCAAATTGGCAAAGAGGGATTGTTGGCAAAGAGGGATCATGGTATAGTATAAACACACGCTGAAGGAACTAAGACACCATTCTTTCTCCTCTTCCGCATCACAGAGTCCTCATTTCTGTCGATTATTCTTCGGCGTGTGCTGATGCGCTTGTGAACAAGAATAGCATTCTCTATAAAAACCATACTTGGACCATAGAAGACGAAATTGATCATTCTATATTCAGCATTGTTCCATCATGAAATCTGTGTTCGTATCGGCAACCGTGGGCTACGGTACTATTATCTCCCTTGTCCACAAATTTATCCGTGATACTGATTTGATCCCGAATGATAAGTGAATTCAGTCTCGGCCAAGCCATTGAAATTCGGGCTACGGTGGAGCCTCAGTTCCCGTAACCTGCACCTCGAGATCCATCTCGATTGGATGGCCGAAGGTTATCTTTACTTCGCATATAGGTTGATCCATCCATCCAAATGTATATTCTTCTCGACGAGTTTCCGATCGAAAAACTCGAGGGAAAATTCAAGTCAATGCTTTGCAATAGCTTGAACTACATTGTATTTGGCCCTTCTGATGAACTAGAAAAATACGACGACGATTGCGAAAAGAATGTGAGAATGCTCCAAGAGCCCGCTCTGAGTAAACAGCCTGACGTAAGGTAATGCCCAATTAGAATTGCAGTCTACGAATTTGTGGCCGTGGGTCCACGTCTAAGCCGTGAAGCTCGGGGTATGTTTCAATGCGATACTTCCTTCTCCATCATCCACTCGCTCATTATACCTGTGATCCATAGCCGCATCAGAGGAAGCATCGACATCAGTTTCGAAGAACTGGGTGATCTCGACAGTTAATGATTTCATTTGATTTGAGGGACTTGGTCGGAGCCTACGGAGTCGGCTGCTACGGTTCTCGCCTCCGGATAGTTCAACAGTTGTTCCCTGGTGAATTGTACTCCCGACGACGGGTAGACTCCTGTCGGAGGCAAATGCCACCCGAATGATTAGGAGGTTAAAGACAATAGAGATGATCGGTGAAACCTAATAAAGAGGCTAGTATAAGTATAGAAGCCTGTGCACCCGCAAATGACGGCGTACCATGTCTAGTAGGATGTAGCTACCGGGATTGCCCAAGACAAATAGCACTAGTCCTATAGTAATTGTTACAGAGTATATTGCTCCGGACTCCACCACTGCACGGAGCACTGGCCCGAGGCGATTAACTGACTTGTACTGCGCAGCCTTACGGCTCACGTTCCATATCCGGAAAGCAAGCAGGCCTATTCGGAAGCATTAGGATATCTAATTTAGGTGAGACGCTGGAAACGAAGCGAATTTACGCACTGGAAGAGGATAGGTTAGTGGCCAGCGTCGTTGCCCAGATCGCCGTTATCCAGTGTCCGGTTCGAGCAAAGAATATGTCGTTGGCGTGCTCTGCAGATTGTGAGAGTGATATGACAGTGCCAATCGAAGCAGCTGAGCAAGATTCGGTATTAGCTAATTCTTCGACAACAGGGGGGATTACAAGGGATACATACTCAGTAGGCCGAACCATCCCAATATGGGGAGTAAAAGAACGTAGTAATTTTGCCAGACGACATACGTGCGGTAGATCTTAGACAGATGACGGGAAAAGGAATCAGACTGATGCAAAAGACATAAGTTGTCGCGACGTACGACGACACCATCAAGCATCAGCGTTTGAACGGTAGACACAGCACTTTTGAAGATAAAGGTAGGCTGCGTGATGTCTGCGAAGTACTGGTCTGGACCACCAGGTAACTTCGGTCCAATATTGAGGAAACCTTGGCAAACGCGGATGATGTTGACAATGAGTTCCTAACCAGATATAGTCCAAGTGAGAAACTGGCGAGATAACTAGTCCAGACAAAGGCTTACCGAAGTGCCGACAACCTGTAGACTACAAGCTATGACGATCATCCCATAGTTCATTCGCCGCCGCGTACGATTTCGTGTAAGGATCCAGAGCGTGAGCAGGAACATCAGGACAGAAAAGCCTACATAATTTCCGTTAGGCGATTCTATACCATAACTTCACTTTTTTTCACTGTTACGAACCATAGAGCAAGGCCTCCATTATAGTGGAGATAATGCCTGCCTTTCCGAGGCCTAACATGGTGGTGTGTTCTCGACGCCGAACAAGGTGGTAGAAAGGTAGACAGAAGGGTATACTAGAAAATTAAAAACTCCGTTTATACGTTGTCTCTTTGAGTGATAGTGTTTCATAGTGATCTATTCTTGGGATCAACATTGCTATACACTGTTTCTGAGAAAGTGCGCTTGATGACTTTGATCCATGACGAGAATGCGATTGAGTCTAGACGATTTAAGGCAAGCATACTCCACGCTGTGCATACTGAATACGGTAATATGAGAGCTGGATTATAAAATGCAGCGGCGATAACGTGTGTGCACATCACGTTTTTGAATGGAGGTGTATGAACGTGAGTAAAGTCTTATACAACGATATTTCTTCGATCTTTTCGAAGGAATATGCTGTACGCCTACACCTCGATTCGCACGTGCCGTGTGACGGATCAGGGTCACGCCGATAAAAGAGCAGCCGAGAATGGAACTTTAAGTTTAATTTGTCGGTCTCAAGTTCTCTCAACTGCTGACAGTGAGTATGCGGATTCAAATACACGTTGGAGACATGGATCCCCACGGGCACGGTCGGACAGTCTCACTCGTTACCGTCTCTTCTGTAGCTCCTTCGCTTTACCATATTCCAAGATGACCAACCTGGCCATGAAAAAATACGGACTTCTTGCTGCCCATGATTCTGGTATCCCAAATGGCAGCCAGGATTACATCACTTTGGTCCTTATTCATGGATTCGCCTGGCATTCTGGTATGGAGTTCCACGACTTGAATATAGTTACTAGTCTGAAGGTCATACTGCAGGTGTATTTGCTCGTCTCCTACCACTTGCCCCAAAGTACAACGCGCGCATTGTTCTTGTTAATAGGCGCGACTATCCTGAATCTGAGCCTCTGGGAGAAGAACTCAACCAGATCAGTACCATCAAATCGGATACACCAGGAGCGATCGATATCCTGAAAGAGTACGCAAAGCAACGCGCCCGGGAGCTGTACGACTTTCTGTCACTGTTCGTTCAATCCGAGAAAGTACCAGATAAACCAGGAATTATTATCGCAGGATGGTCGTTTGGGGGTGCATCGATGACTATCTTCCTTGCGAACGCCAGGAACTTTCCAGTTGGATATGTCGATCTGGCCCGGTACATTCGAAATGTTGTTCTTTACGGTAGGTATATAAGTCGTATGCATTTCGATCAGCGCCGACTTATTTTTATCGTCGCATACAGATCCGCCATATCATAGTCTTGGTTACCCACCACCAGCGGAGGTCTATCACCCATTGAAAGATCCGTCTATGCCTCCTGGGGAAGGTGCCAAGTTCTTCTCGTCTTGGGTCTCTGGATATTACTCACACGGTAACTCGGTCTCCGAGCTCGAACTTCGCAAACCATTAGCGAACCCTCGCCCAACAATTGAGACAATGACTCCAGAGGATATTGGATCGGCTATGTACCCGCCTGCAGCATACCCTGGAGGAGCTGATTTCAGCCTCATGGAGGCGGGCGTGCAACACGGTTTATTCAACTTTTTACGAGAAGCCACTCTCTATCCTCCTTTCACGGGAGAGAAACCGAAAGAGTGGGATAGCATACAGCTCAAGTATATTTGGTGTGACAAGTCTGTCTGGGAGATGCCTTGGGGAACGTGGGCTTTGCAGAATGAGCTTGAAGAGGCAAAGAAGAAAGGAAAGCCAATAAGGCCTGTCTCGATTGTGAGAATGGAGGGAGCCAACCACTTTGTGAGTTTTAATTTCTGATTTTGGCTTTTAAACACATGTGACAGGTATTGTTAGGCACATTGGGATCGGCCTGAACAAGCACTTAAGACACTGTTAGCTGATAATTAGAAAATAGTGGTGATGATACCTTGCAATTGTACCGTTCAGCCTGAGAGATTGCTGCTATTCCATTTGTTGTACAATATATGTAATATCATAGATATGTACTTGGTACTCATTTTCCCAATAAATAAATACATTTGTACATGGCTCGTTCATGAATAGCTGGACAAAGGCAAGGCTGAGACCGTCGAAACGTCAATTCTTTCCTGTATCTTCTTCCCGCCCTTCGACCTTGTTGGTAGTATCTCTATCGGAACTAATGACAGAGGAAGTTTCTGCGTCCGACTCAAAGAACTGGGTGATCTCGACAGTTAACGGTTTCATATCGCGTCTGGTATTTGGTCGGAATCGAGGTGTGGTCAATGTCGTGGTTTGTTGCACTGTACTGCTGATTACTGGTAAGTGTCTGTTGGTAGCAAATCCCACACGAAGGATAAGAAGGTTGAAGACGATGGAAATTATTGGGGAGACCTGCGAAGCAAGCTTAGTTATGGTTATGTCATAGGCATTTATCCGGCCAGCAGCTCACCATGTCCAACAACACATAGATACCGGGTGAGTTAACGACGAATAGTATCAGCGCCGCGGTTATAGTCACGGAGTATATTGCCCCTGATTCAATAACGGCGCGGAGAACTGGTGTGAGCTGGCTGCTCGCTCGATATTTTGCTGCATCGCGATTCACTCGCCATATGCGGTACGCTAGTAGGCCTGATAAAGCCATTTCAGTTTGCATACTCCCATAAAGAGTGCAGAATGACGGTGACGCACTGGAAGAAGACAAGTTCGTAGCTAATGTCGTTGAGTAGATAGCGGTAATCCAACGAGCAGTCTGTACAGCGAACATATTATTCGCATGTCCTGCCGCGCTGGCTAGTGCGACAATGGTGCCAATGCATGATGCTAGAAGATAGTTTAATTCAATGAAGAGAATCGTGGCTTAAAGCATAATACTACATACTTAGCAGAGCAAACCAACCCAAAATAGGTATAACAACGACATAATAACTTTGCCAGACAACGTAAGTGCGGTAAATCTGCATGATAGGCGTGATTATCTATCAATCGTGCGTTTCAGGAATGCAAAATTCAATATGCGTACGACGACAGCGTCGAGAATTAGCGCTTGAAGATTGGATACTGAGCTCTTGAAGATGAAGGTTGGCTGAGTTACATCGTCAAAATATTGTTGTGGTCCACCGAGAAGGCTTGGTCCGATGTTTAATAATCCTTGACAAACTCGGACAATGTTGACAGTGAGCTCCTGGATGAGAGAAGAATCACAATCACAAATGAGCAAGCATTTATGTAGAGGATAGGTGTACCGATTACGTACTGCGGTAGCGAGAAACTGTAGTGAACAAGCAGTGATAATCATCCCATGATTTAGCCGTCGCCGCTCGCGATTTCGAGTCAGAATCCATAACGTGAGGATGAACATCAGCAGGGAGAAGCCTAGACATTTTCAGAAGGGTGTCCCTCTAGTGGATGAAGGAGACTTACCATATAGTAAAGCTTCCATTGTTGTCGAAATAATACCCGCCTCGGAAAGTTGTAGCATGATGACTACCTGCACACAAAGACAGGATCAGGGCTCGACTAGAGTAAGCCTCGCTTGAAAGCATTGCTTATATGCTTTCCTCCTCGACAAGAGATCAGGAGCTGTCAAGCATGCATGTGTTCATCACGAAGACGATGATATGAAACGTAGCCATGATGTCGGACTATGTCGGCTTCCCAAATTTTTGATATCAGAACCGAATTTATCTGCACTGAAGATGTTTGAATGGCGTGTATTGCACTTCTTTCTCACCGGAAGATGCCAAAGCCAACTCTGGCATTGCACAGCACAGCACCAGACACGCCAAATGATCACGATCACATCACGAGGTTATGCGCATTCGTCCGAGAAAAAATGTGCAAGTTAACAGCAAGCTGAGAGTTGCCTTGATGTGGATATATTTGATTTTGTACGATTTGATTCTTTGAATTTGATAGCGGCGAAGTTGGATGATGGATCTAGATTCTAGACCAAGATAACTTACGTCATAGAAAGCTAGACCAATATATGTAAGCCGGTGTTTCACGTGATTTGTAGAAATTTATTCCACATGCCGATACTTTACCATCCAGCTCGCCATCCATCCAGAAGTCACTTCGTTTGTTGCACAGTATATGTATTATCAAATTTTGATGTTTTGTAGTTGTTCACCGAGAATTAAAAATTGATACACTTATACGGTCTCATCTGTCGAATAGCCAGACTAAGTCAAGGACGTGATTGTCGGAACCTCATTTCCTATGCATGTCTCCCTCTCGTCCTTCGAGTTCGTCAGTCTGTCCATCAGAGGCAAAATAAGATGGAGAGCCAACATCCGTCTCGAAAAACTGGGTGATCTCAATCGCTAGGGGCTTCGTGCCGCATCCAATATTCGGATGAAATCGTGGTTCGGACAGTGTTGCAGTCTGTCTCCGAGTGCTTCCAATAACTGGTAAACGTCTCTGGGAAGCTAAACCCACTTGAATGATGAGAAGGTTAAAAACGATGGAAATTATTGGTGAGATCTGTGACGAAAGTTGAGTTAAGCCCAAGGGAATTTGCATCTATAGTAGCGTACCATGTCTAACAATACAAAGTTACCATTCGAGTTGATGACAAACAGGACCAGAGCTACGGTTATTGAAACGGAGTATATCGCTCCTGATTCAATGACAGCTCGGAGGACAGGTGTGAGCTGGCTGCTCGCTCGATATTTCGCTGCATCGCGATTCACTCGCCATATACGGTACGCAAGTAGACCTGACAAAACCATATTAACTTGCATACTTTCATGATTAATGGAGGAGAACGATAACGCACTGGAAGATGACAAGTTCGTAGCTAGTGTCAATGAATAGACTGTGGTGATCCAACGAGCTATTCGCGCGGTGTAGATGTCATTCGCAGCGTGTCCTGCAGCGCTGGCTATTGCTATATTCGCCTCAATGCATGATGCTAGAAGATGGTACCATCGGATGAGGGCGCAATGACCTGAACCATGGTAACACATACCTAGTAGGGCAAACCAGCCTAAGATAGGTACAACAACAACGTAGAAACTCTGCCAGACAACATATGTGCGGTAAATCTGTGCAGAAATGACCACGTTTAAGTTGTAAATCTCTGACAATCAAGTCCGCACAGACGCACGACAACAGCATCAAGGATGATCGCTTGAAGGTTGGACATTATAATTTTTGTGATGAAGGTAGGCTGGGTTACGTCGTCAAAGTATTGCTGTGGTCCCTCGGGAAGGTTAGGTCCGACGTTCAGCAGTCCCTGGCAGACTCGGACAATGTTAACAATGAGCTCCTGGACACAGGTATTACCACGAATGAGTCACAGTTTAGATGGAGAATGGGCATCGCGTTTACGTACTGCGGTAGCGAGAAGCTGCAGAGAACAAGCAGTGATAATCATGCCATAGTTCTGTAGTCTCCGCTCTCGGTTTCGCGTCAAAAGCCACAATGTGAGGATGAACATCAGTAATGAGAAGCCTATACGTTATCAGAAGACCGTTCCAGAAGAGAATGTTTTGAAAGGAAGACGAACCATACAGCAATGCTTCCATTATTGTCGAAATTATGCTCACTTCCGAAGGTTGTAACATACTGAATTACCACATCCAAAGGAAAGATTGCAGTAGATAGGTGAAGGCTTCCGAGAGGTTTGCTTATTTATGAGACCGCGTGTCGACCCTCCGTTCACGGTGGGGACGCTGATATGAGAACACATGCATGACGTCGGATTATGCCGGCTTCCCAACACTTTGATTCAGTAACAGGACTACTGCAGCCACCGGCAGCAGAAGACTTATAATCAATTCCGGCGCATTAAACGACTTGAACACGACCCGTGAGCGCAATGATTGCATCACCATGCTGTGTATTCTCCCGAGAAGCTTTATATGCACTGACTTCGCATGATTGGTTCTTTGAACCGAAGCCAGGACAGTCTATTGAGATCATGGATGGCTGCATCATGTTATGACCATGATGGAATGGGAAGAGATGGGATTCAAGAGGCGACGAAAGTTGCGATTTAGACGTTATGTATCGCACGTGACTGTGAAAATCACCCTGGGCACTCAACAGTCGAAGTTTCAAAAGTAACAACGATGTCAATGGATCACAGCAAGTTCGCTCTATCTTTACAATGACCTCGCCGAGTAGCTAGATATCTCTTCCTTTTTTCTTTCCTCAATTGGACAAAAGCAGCCACTGGCGACGAACAAACCTCTACCACCAATGTTGCAGAAGTCATTTCGGCATTCACGGGGATGTGTATTTGACTGTAATTTCCACAATTAATCTTTACATCGGCTTGAGTTAACCCTTGGTCTTTCACAATGACGTCGAGCCAGGTGAGTGTGTATAGGTTTCTTGTGGATCTCTCACTCGTCACTAAATTGTTACCTCCAGATTTTCTTCACACCGTTATTATCACCTTAATCACCGAAAACATTTTCTTTGTGGTTCTACAACTCCTTCATGCTATTTCGAACGTAACATCGGGCAGAAGTAAGCCTAGGTAAGGTATACACAATTGGGATTGTGGGAAATTGGTGACACCACATTTCGCCTTTGTAATTTTCCTGGAACACAACGTCGTTTGCTCTTTGTTCGGGTTGCATTATATAATATAAAGGCTCATTCCAGTCAAGATGGCATCCTGGCGCTGCTAAATGTGCTCTTTCCTATCGTTCACTATGTGACGGTAGGTTATTAATAGGCAGGCAAACTCATTTACCCGCTTGATATCTCCAATGCAAAAATCTAAAGATATCATTGCAATATTCATAGGAAATCTCACCGTACGAGATGGTAACATTGCTTCATTGCTGGATCTTTTGATAAATATACTTTAGTAGCAAACCATATGGCGTCAGATTGGTCCCGTTCACTTTGACATGGAAAATCGTTGTATGGCCCGCGGAGATATTGATTATCGGCTTCATTGCAAGGGAGCATAAACACGGCGACACATTTTTTGTTTGCAGAGAGTCCGACGACAACAAACAGCTTCTATTCTTGATGAAAAAGATCACGGATCCGCTTTCAAATTCAGAAATATATTTATGAATGATGGAAGCAACACAGTGTCATGCTCAGGATCCTCTACCCATTAGTATTAATCACGATGTTCCAGGCCTACCAGCACAATACAAACTAATCGCATACCCGAAAATGGTGTCTTGTATTTCAGGCTTGACAAGAGCTGCAAAGTACGTAGTTTAACTCCACATCTATTATTAACTCGTGGGAATGACAATGCTGCAAGACCTTTTCCAGTCGCAGCGAATGCGCTTTTCCCACAGGTACTGGAATCTTCGAAAAAACAATTCGTAGTATTCTCATGCAATCATAACAAAGCAGATGCTATGCCTCTACCATCAGATTGTTTCTGTACAACTCATTGGTTTGCTCCTGACGGGACCAAGAAATCTATAAAATGCCGACGATTCTATGTGAGAAGAGCTCATCATCAATCATTACAATTCACTACCACTGTGCTTTTAGTTTCACGGTGAGTCGACCAGCAGGCAAGAAGGCTCTAAAACCATTACTCATTATCATGCGCCAATAGTAACTGTAGAATACACCTTGGAGCATGTGCAAGGTCGATATAACTCACTATTGCGACGGGACGAAGGAAATGGACGTAAGATATAAGTGCACTAGAAGCTCTGCTAACCACGGGTAAGTTGTTTTCAAGAACTAGAATAATTATATTGGTGCACCCCACTTAGCATCGCCTTGCGTCTTGTATTCTTGTCTTTCAAAACTAATCAGTCGTTGTCTCCGCGTAATAATTGACTGACTATGGAATTCTAGGTTATGTTCGCGCACTAAGGAGAGACATTATAACGCATGCGTAAGGTCAGATCCCAGTCGGTGTAATAACATTCCAGACGCAAGAAAATACAGGATCAATGGCAGAAAAAGTCTCCAAGAGAACATATATTACAAGCGCTGTAATGGAAGGTACTTAAACACATATCTACAAGAATTACGGTAAAGGAGAATACAATCATACATACCAATGGAAGGACATCATTGGGCAATAATGCCTCCGTATTCAATAGTAGTTAATAATAATGAATGAAAACATAGAATACATCGTGTTTAAGTATGTTATACATAGTATAAAAAATATTAGTTCAACCAGCTTGTAACCGGTAGCATTCCAGACATTTGCAGCCGAAATATTATTACGCTCACTGAGTCCCGTAACCCTAACAGCAGACCGTCTGAGTCGTCTATAAATACGCTGTCAGGGCTTACCGATGTTTCTATTTCAAGTGTTTGTGGACAGTTAAAATGATGTTAGGAAAACAACAACAGGGCCTTGGAAAATACGGGATGCGTAGCGTTGGCCAGATTCCCACCCTTTCTTCAGGTGGGAAGAAAGCTGATCCAATCACAGGAAAAGTCAGTCATCAATACGAAATAACAGCTAGATAAAATATAGCGTTAGCTGAATGACTGGAGTCTAGCCAGAGTTGTATAAGTAGAGCCAACAGGATTGAAACGAGATTCTAAATATCTAAGGAGGAGAGAAACTTTCACTCATTTTCCGTAACGTCGGGCCAAGTATTACATCTCAAAAACGTGAGTTATAGGAAATTGGCAACCTTGTTTGAGTACAATCATTTTAATGACAAATTTCAAAACGTGAATATAATTCCATTCATGTACGGACTTCTCTTCATTTGGTACAAGAACTATTTCATGCGGAGCCTCAATATGCAGCAAGATGGACTTCACGCCAGACAGTGTCAGAATCGCAACGGTAACTTGGGTAAAAGAGAGGCAGCAGACTCGAGGGGCCCAAACAACGTCTGTGGCAAATCGAACTGGATTGATCCTTGGTCTTTCGCCTGGAAAAGCGACGTACGTTTGACACTAAGCAGATTGAATATGCAGACAAATGGGCACGTACTGGTGGGCTACTCCACTTCTCCTTGCAAAGCGTTTCAAAATCGTTCAAGGGAGGACTCGTCGGTTGCCAACCACTACCAAACTTCTGTTTCAGCGAATTAAGTGTAATCATAAAGAGCGGATCTTTAAGAGAATCAGGAGATTGCAGGACGCTCTGATGGAATGAGTCGGTCTGCGAAATTTTACCGCCGTCGAGACGGTTCTTAGGGAATATGACAGCTTTCTCTGGGGCTATTGTCTCGTCATATGAGTTGTGTGGCTGAGAGGCACCCCATGGATCGGGGCTCTCCTGAGCAGATTGGCGGATGAAGTCGAGGTCGAGATTAATGAAAGAGCTTATTTCGCCCTGCAGGTGAAATTTTAGACAAAACTGATAGAGGACTAGTCAAGATGCTAACCGCCATCCAGAAGAGAGAAATGTCCGCTAGTTCGTGACGTTGATAGCCACCTCCAACATCTGAGTGTGCACCAGGAAACCACATCTACGTTCGAAGAGAATGAAGTCAATCTAACCTACCACCAATTGTACACGTCCGCCCTTTAGCGCTCACCTGCTTAAACACTTGTCCAGGAGCTGGGCTCCCCCAACGCGTTGGAAGGAATTTGTCACGATTCTCGTGCAACGAAAGTGCGTGAAGCGCAACCTCTATCGAAGCCGGAATTGCGGCGTCAGTAATTCCGAGTGCATTGGCATTCGGGTTCAAAGGTAAAAGGCCAGAGAAGACGGATTCAACGGTATCCCAAACGCCGACACATCTAGAGGGTCATAGTCACATGGATAAACTTTGAATCGGATGGGGGATGGCATGGTAAACCTCGCTTACTTAATCTTCGTCGAACGCGTTCCCGAAGGTATAGTCGGCGTCTTTCCCTGATCAAGTTGGTTCCATATTGCAAAGAAGTAGCCAAGATTTTCGCGCTCCAAGAGACCGACCCTATCCTAAGTTTCCGTTAGACCATAAATACCCAAGTAGGGGCTTGTGAGTGACACTAACGACCAAACCCGCGAGCTTGCGCGCAGTGTAGGCTCCCCTTCACGTCGCATCACATGTATGAGTTTGACAACACTTGCCATCTATGCGAACAATACTCACCTTGAAAAGCTGTGTGTAACGAAGACAGATTCAGGAACTCACTGCAACCAAAATAACAAGATTACTGACCCAAAAATGCATATTTCGTCGCCATCGTCAAAGTTTTGCGCAATGAAAGCATACGCATCTCTGATTTTACTCGCTGCCACACGTGTTGAATGTACGCAGAAAGGTAGAACAAGTAAACACATACCGACAGCTGTTCCGAGAGCCTCTACAGACGCGGCACGGGATCATGGAGAATTTTAGCCATGCAGCTGCGTGCTGTGACAGGATTTGTCGATTGCTTACGCATGAGAATGGTTCCATTTACTTGATCGCCTTTGAAGTCGGCCTCGCTACCAACACCACTCTGATAGAAAACAACTTGGCGACGCCCATCGCTAACGATAGTATGTCAATCGATAAGAATGAGTGCACAGTAACAGAATCCTACGCGGTTCTGTCTTTTACAGCACGAGCTGAGGGGGAACAATGAGCAAAGCTTCGGTGAGTACCGGATAATGCTTACACAGTCGCAGCACATTTGTTGGGTATTGAACGTTTTGTGCCGCAGCTTCGGTGCCCGCTGCTATTAAAATATTTAGAAAATGAGAAAAAATAAAATAAAGCCAAGGAAAGGTATCTTACGCGAGCCATCCGAGGTATTCCCGTCCATCCCAGTGCCATCACAGAAAACTAAGAGTACTTTCGACTTAGCCATTTCCAACGGTTATGGTTGTCGTGGATGTGGGTAGTTATTGGAGGGCAAGAGGCCTCCTGCTTGTCTCCTTTATGTCCGTCTGAGCGAGTAAATTAGACGCTTCGATGCACTGTGGGGCTGCATAGCGCGAAGAAAGAGCAGTGGAGAGTCTTCCATGCAAGCTAACGCCATTATTCGCTCGCACGAGGCAGACTTATCAGCTTCTATTGTGTCAATAGGCGCAAGTCTATTCAGTGATATTGCCACTTACGACATAGGCCCTGCAGCATAGAGACAAGTTCCAAGTGTTAGAAGCGCGAGACGGCAGCCACTTGGAAGATTACGAGCTACGAAGAGAGGAATTTGAAAGACAGTACTAGTTACGTTAAGCCATCGGACCGGATAAGTGCTAGATGCTCAAGGCAAGGAAGCGTATTTCCTCAACGATAAGTCAAGATGGAGAAAATAGACACTAGTACATCATCTGAGAAGGCATCGGCAGACAGTGCAGACGTTTATTTCTTCAAAGTTTGCAAACCGTTTCGTGAAGTGACGTGAAGAAGCAGGTGCGTCAAATCTTTATTAATAAATTACATAATAAGTTTGAGCCCTAATCCGGCATTTTTCTCGCACTCTCGCACGTGATCGTGCACTCTGCCTTTCCTGCCGGAATCCAATGCTGTACTTTTCGTAACTATCATTAGTATTAGTGATATTTTGGTCACCCTTCCAGTGAAGGACTTATGAGTGGATTTTATCCTGCACACATGGATGTAGGGGTGCTGACATATTTTGATGCTAAAAGATACACACACTTATACTTGTTCTCTGATTTGCAAGACTGTAGTCACTGTACTAAATATGCATATTCTGTTTGTCAATCCAAGCATGATCCAACACTGTCAGACACGAAAATTTCTAAGAACAGCATATGTGGTAACATAATATAATACATACTATGTATTACATTACCTGCATACGGGCATAATCATACTTTGTATAATTTAATGAGTATACTGGAAATTAACATCCAGTCCAGCTAGAAATTCTTCATTGAACGGTATGTATCCGCACGTTGATCGCAGCATACTAAGCATGTGCTGAAGCGGGCAGCTGAGTGGGTCGGGATGGACTTTGCTGCAGGCACCACCTAACAACAAGTTATTTATTCAGATAAATAAATGAAATGCAATAGACAAAGTGTACTCACATGGCGATCGCTTACAAACAACCACTTCACTCACAAAGGAGTTGCTTCCTCCGACTGGTGTAAGACTGGCATTAGCACCAGACCAGTCAAGTAGGCTACATAGCTTATGCTGATGAGCAGGTGCATCTGGGTCATGCCACATCCCGAGTAGTTCTACTCGCATGAATTTGGTCTGCGTCGCAGTCTAGATTAGTACTAAGTATCGGCATATATGAAAACAAATATCTCAGAAGGTCCTACCATATTTATGGCATGTGTGTCGTTCGCGTGGTACGTAGTAGGCGCTGAGATTGTATACACACCAGAAATAGCTGTTAAAATATAGGGCTCATTGCTTTTCAAGAACGTGGACCTTTACAACTTTGTTCAATGCAGTTGCGATCGAATATTATGATACAGTGGAACTGACTTTGCGAATTATCTCTGCAAGAGCGTTGGCAACGAATGCTCCCTCCCCGTCTCCAAAGAAACTCACTCTGTCTCGCGCTTGATTAAGCGAATCAATGATATCTATAGACAACAATTTTAAGTAGATAGACAGTGTTAAATTTTCCATAACTCACAATTATCTGCCAGATATTTGTAGCCGTCTCTCAACTGCTTCACTAGATGTGGCTTCCTGTCCAAGAACTGAAACGCGCTAGTTTTGCGTTTAATGCCGAAACAATTTGCGACTACATTCATCAATGACTGCAGAATGTCCTTTACACCTATAGGTGGTGATGGCTAGACAGGAACAATATTAATGCCCGTTAGTTATGTATATGTGCCGCGTATTAGAAGTAGGTATTCTCACAACTATGTGCACTCGAATTTTATCACTGTCCACTATAGCAGTCTTGAAGGCTGCTATGATAGGACTGTTGATAATCTCGCCTTCTGTTGCAAACCTTTCAGGTACGCGGAGTTCCTTACAGGTAGCAGCAAAGGACTTGGAGCAATCAAACAGGACAAAGTGAGTCACTCCACGGCCGGAAATCAATGCCATAATCCGGTACATATGGAACACCATAGAGTTCGTATATATATTGACAGTACTAGCCATCGTTTGTGCACGCCTGAGTGTAGGAGATACCCAACAGTGGGGCAGAGCTCATCACACAATTATATATTATGAGGTGAGGAGTTAAGACACGAAAGACAAGTACTAAGTAGTGTGATTTGTTTAAACCCTAATATGGAAATTTTCCACATTTTTTCACGTGCCTTTGCATCGACCGTTCCTTTTCAGGTTCAGGCTTTTGATCATTTTCCGCCGGTTGGACTCTTGACTCTTGGAGGACTCGTCTTGATGCGAGCGCCGAGGAAGTCACACCCATCACGCAGAACTGCGCTCTCTGATCGCATTTTCCGAAATGCGACTTCGTTCCGTGGACCATTTTGATTCCGAATATTAATATTAATGAGGACCACGTGTTAGTTATCGGAGCTACGTCCTCCTGCGTCTGTTGCAGACCTTTCTTCGGAGTGAGTACCTTCTCGGGGCAGATCGTTTTTGGTGATGTTGCAAATCAAAGGAGCCATTTGTTTGATGCGTTTTCTGGGCAGAGGAAGTAGTATGTAGCAGTGGGTGGAAATACTCATCACTATGCATCGCTTAGCAGCATTAGGTTTTGATCGACATTGCCGACTACCTCAGCCCTACGTATCCTCAGTTGTTGGTCGTCCTTTCCCCTTGCTCCCTCACAATGCTCCCCAGAACTCATGCGGGACGCATACTCTTTCTTCCCCTTACTTTTCTTCTCCTTACCCATGCGCTGGCCCAAAACATAACTGTCGATGATGCTGCCACGACGGGTGTTGTCCCTCAGTACCTTCCTGCCCCCTCCTTCACTCAGGGTGCGACTTGCACTGGATGTGGTGCACAACCTGATGCTTCGCGGGCGTTCGGCGGAACGTGGCACGATGCAACATTTACACCTGGGGATGGGATCGCAAAGGCTATTGAGCTCGACTTCAATGGTGCGTCTTCAATTAACTTGCATTAACCCAAACATCACGATTTCATGCCCTTGTTGATTCAGGTAGTGCTATATATATATTCTTCATTCTCGCGAACACGATTCAATTCGTCGATACCGTTACAAACATGAATTTCATCATCGACGAATCACTCGTCGGCAGCTTCGTTCATGAACCCTCTACGAGTACTGATTTCCAATACAACGTGCCGGTATATGTCAACGAATCTTTGTCGAATGGTCAGCATCATATCAGGATGGAGGCAGCAGGGAACCACTCTGCTCTGATTTTGTTCGATTATTTGGTCTACACGTACGTGGGCAACGTTGATTTCTTCAGTTTTTCAGTATTGGTCTAACTTATCATCCTTTCCTAGTTCAAACACCGCCAACACAACGGCATCGTTGTCGACAACCCCAGTTCCCACTGTGTCATCCCCCTTGGAAACACAAAACGCGACGAAGAAATCGAATTCTGCTCCAATCATTGGTGGTGCCGTAGGAGGCGTTGTTGCAGTTGCCATTTTAGCCTGTTTGTTGATCTGTTGCTGGAGACGGAAGAACCAAAAGCATGGACCTGACCGAATCACCGCACAGGAAGTGCACGGCGATGCACTATCCTTATCTGATTCGGAACGTGCGACAACGTGGTCAACACCATTGACCTTGTCACAGCCGAGGACGTTGGTGTCTCTGGATCGTACAACCTCTACAGATCGTCAAAGACGGTATTTGGATTCCCCTGCATTTCCACAAACTGTGACACTCCCGACTCGATCCGCCTCGTCATCTCAGAGCATGTCAACAAGATCAAACGAGCGAATTCGATCTCGCGAAGCGCGAACGCCTTTAAATGCGAAATTATTGGAGGCCACTCGACATCCAGATACAGTAACAACGCCCAATTCTCGATCACCTATCACCAATAATTCATCAGGGACTGGTGCAACAGTGCTGCAAGCGCAAGTTGAGCGTCTGATGGATGAGGTTGCCTGCCTTCGACAGTTACATCTGCGAGATAGGGATGGGTTGGATACAGAAGTAGGGACGGAGACGGAGGCACCTCCTGGATATTCGGAAGGCAGAGCGTCGCTTGATTCTACTGTATGAGATATTATTTGTCTGCTTTCAAGATGCAATGTATTCTAGTTTCAATCCTCAAACATGTAGAACTCCTTATCTCGAGTAAGCAAATAACTGAAAAATAAGTATATCGTCTTCCTGACGTGTAGGCAGTGAAGTCAAATAACATTTTGGTTTCAGCGCATTGTGCTCGGAAGACGTGCCAACAATTGACGTTCGAACCAGTCGAGAATTACCGTTTTGGTGTGCCACTTCACTTATGCAGACATTCTTCCCACGGCTATCGGTTAATCATTATCATCTGCAGCATCTCATCGGATCAGATGCGTAGCAATGCATAGCATCCTGCTCCATTCCCTTATGTAGAATAGATGCTACCATCACTACTCGGCAATGTACTATATCAGGCCATCGTAATAAATGATACATCTTTCCAAGGAACTGTTCTTTCACAGCCCTGTCGACTCTTTATAACTGGCGACGCAGTCCCACCCCGCCCACCTCGTTCTGTTGTGACTCTACACTAATCATGGACTTGGACAACGGATTTGAAGGCGTTCTCAGACATTCTGCGAGGGTTTCGCAGGAAACCTCGTTAGCATCCGGTACGACTACAATGCTCCTAACTCTCGGACCTACTTACTGATTTACTCAGTTGCCATTTACACTGTCTTTGTGTACAACTTTGGTGAGTAATTCAGAATTGAGCAGGATAATATAAACTTAAAAGAGACAAGCGTAGTTATGACCATGCCGGACGAGGTGAGCTCTACTGCTTACATTGAAACTGAGACCCTAATCTCTGCTCTTCCGGCTGTGGCTAGGTTGAGTTCGTGTGGGTGCGTGCTCAATGCATCAATTATTATTTCTTTCTCAAATAATCTAATGCTTCCTTAATGCAGAGCTGTCGCTTTCATATAGGCTCTGCAATTTATTTTCTGGTCGGTTTCTACAAATGTTCTCCAGACATTTATTTAATCTTATTGCATGCGTACGACAGACAAGATATATAGCTGCTCTTTCGTTGAGGTAATCTATAAATAAATGCTTCATTTGCACAGTTCACACGGTTTCACTCACAGTATAGACACTATACATGTAATTATGCGGGTCGTCAGATTTGGTGGACACCAAGGTAGGTATTGCTTCTCATCATCAAATACAAAGAGCATTCTAATCTGATTGAACAATAATAAGTTTCAATATTTATAGACAAACTTGGGTACCTGGATTATAATTATATGTGGTTTCCATCCGGGGTTTCGTACATTATCGGAATTATTGGCCTTATCACTTCAATGGGTTGGTGTAAATATTAGTATTATTCATTTTTGTCCATGACAGAACAGCTTTTTAGTTCTAATTCAACTCCGAACGAGTGCTTTGTACGGGAATTCGAGAAAACTAATAATTTTCTTCGTCGTTTTGGATCTGGTGCTTATTAGTGCCGTCGTTGTTCTCCAGTTATATCGAGGTAAGTAATCCAAGCTTTCAGTGGTCCATGGGCCTACTGAGCAAATATCAGTGCTGTCATTCACTCCGTTCATATGGATCCCTCTGGCGTTCACCGAGTTGGTATCACTTCTGATTACTGTTCTGAAGACCTACAGAAACTATCGGTCCTTCCATGGGGATAAGATCAAATTCCCCTCTTTCCTCTGGGTTGCCCTTCGAGATAATACTATTTATCTTGTTGTGTTAAGTTATCGATTAGTTCTTCATGAGTTAAAACTTATGGTCATGTCAACAGAATCTTGCTATTTTACTTTATAGGGACAGTTCTCATATTCGTCGTGAGTCATAACCTACTCGGTGAATACGGCTTTGATGATGAAATGCTATATATAGACGGAAGACCTGGAAAATCCACATTTTCAGGCTTCCGTTGCAATATCGGGAATCATAGCGCCTTGGATGTATATAAATTTGCGTAAAGCGCAGATACTAAACCCGTGTACAGAACCGTCCATCCCAACAATGCAATTCAATATTCCGTTGGAAAACAGGTCTGCATCCATAATCAATCACCAGTCGAAAACTGACGTGTGACTTTCCTAGGAGTAGTGAAAATGATGTTGATGCTGCCGAGCGTTCCATTTGACTGTGTTTATCGTTCGGTTCACCCTTTGCTTTCAGTCGCATGATTAATGGATTTTTATGTATTCATTGGAAATTAGCATTGATCTAATCTCGAAATCGCTGTTATAGGCCAATTAGACAACAAGCCGTCCTAAGCGGCGGGTGCACAACAGAAATGAACATGAATGGTTTCATTGCCGGTGATACCTCCGCCAGCGCTTGTGCAGTCCTCTGTTGAAGGCGTGCAGTTTGTCCAGTCTTCGCCATCCGACGTATGAACGGAGCTGGGTGTTCTAAGACCACCTCAGTAACATGTTACTATTCAAGAGAGCTCGAAACCAGACTTACGTGCCATCAGCGCAGTCAACCGTGGATCCGTCTCCGTAGGATCCGCAGATGTTGGCATCATTAATACCCTTTCCATCCTTTATTGTACAGTCGTTCCCGACTATCACAGCTCTCTGAAAGGGTAAGCTATTTAGCAATAATTTTATATTACTGTCATTTTCATAAATATTGTCACACGCACGATTCGTGATTTTCGTCACACTAAGTACACTCAAATACAAAATCTATCATAACTCAACTAATACTTAACCAATTACATGATCTAAGTTGTAAAAATTATACTTTTAAAGTGTACTTTCACTATT